ATAAATTAAATATATTAAATTTATTATTAATAAAAAGTCTTAATATTATTATATAATAAAATAATTATATTTTAATAATAAATTAAAAAAATCTTAAAAATAATTAAAATTTCTTAATAGCTTAAAAGCTAAGTATTTATTTAAGATATAATAAATATTATATATATATATAAATATTTTATAATTATTAAAAGGATATTATAATATAAAAATAAGTCTTATAATATAAGATTATTTTTTAAAATATAAAATTACCTTTAATTAATTAAGATTAAAGGGTATTTTATAAGTAAGCTTTAAGTATATAAAAAGAACTATATTAAGCTATAATACCTATATAAGGAGTACTAGCTATAAGTCTCTAAGGAGAGGTTCTTTAAACTATACCGACTCGGTGGCTTTAAGGACTATTTCGCCTAAAGACCGCTCTACTTAACCAAACCAAAGGGCGGCCTAAAAATATCTATGTTTAGGGAAGAGACGTGAGAAGCATTGGGGAAACCAGGCGAGCCAATCGCAATGGGACGAGGAACAAAACTATTGAAACCGACAGAATCTGGACAAATCGCAACGTAGTTCGCAAGATGGAACCGGAAGTTCCTACTCAAATCTCACAATTTTACCAACCATCGATTGTAACGCTTGGAAAACTCTTTCATAGTCAGGTAGCTCGCAATTATTATTATGAGTTCAACGCCTTGCCCTAGAGAACTCACAAGATCAATATGAATTGAGCTTGTTTTTAGACGGTACCTAGATTTTGCTCTATACTTGATTGGTGATGGGGGAGTCTATTCGAGCCGTGTTCCCTAGCACACCCGGAATGAGCTGATTCTGTATGACGAATACGGTGGTGAAGGAATTCATCAATCTGAGTTATCACTTACTGTTGATCTGTGCAGTCGGCCGAATGTGTGCTGGTTCCATCTTTTCAGCCACCACAAAAAGAAGCCGGCCTGGAGGCGTCAGTCATGGCTGTTTTTTACACAGTTGGTCCTCCTTTTGGTGTTTTCGCTCTAGTTAGCTGCTAGGACGACATTGGCTGTAGCCTCGATCGCGTCTGTCACACATCTTCAGCCTCGTCGGTTCAATCGAGCAAGTCTGTCGAATCCGCCACCTCGGTTGCCTCTGCTACTTCATCTGCTCCTGCCACCTCCTCTGTTGAGACGTGAACATCCTCCACTTTCACCCAGTCCTCGATCGAGACATCAGTATCCTTGGCCAGCGATTCGACGATTGATATCACAACCACAACGCCGCCCACAACTTCGACTACACCTGGCTAGGTCCTTATCGCCACCGTCGAGGTCGTCACCTGCAATAGCGAACAGCCGTTGTCACGGGCTTTCCTGACCTGTGCGCAAACTGAAGATCGAAGGGTTACGTGCTCCATACCGGCCGTCATCTGCGAGGTCCAACCAGTTGATTTATTCTTTGCAAATTACGAACCAATTCCTGGTACATGGGACAATTTGTATACCAGGAACGCGGCATCGGACTAGGTTTAGAAGATTTAAGACAGTAGCGCTCCTGACTACTACTACCCTATTGAATTGTATTGAGCATTATATTCAAAGATGATATATATGCCAACCATTTAGCAATTCGCCGAAATATTACATTTAAGCTCTAACTAAGATATCCCTCCCTGTACTCCTCTTTCTTATATAGAGGTTAGAGCAGCTAAAATACCTATAAGAGGTTAGACTTTTTATAATAATATAGCTAGGTCTAATACTTCTATTATTATAGAAGTTTAAATAAGGTATTATATTAATATTAGGTTATAATATTATAATATATTTAAGATTTATTCTTTATTATAGTTATAGCCTGGCCTTTAGTAGGTTAACTAAGTCCGAAGATCGAATTGTTTTAAGGCTGCTAAGTAGGTTTCTAAAGTCTTATTTAAGATCTTAGGATAAACTATTACTCATCTCATCCGTTAAATAGGGCTTATTATACATATATATATATTAATAAGTCCATTGCTTTGGGAACCGCGCCAGTAACAAGAACCACATAAAAGTCAATAGGAAAGGCCCCGACGCTCATGCCAACAAGATTTCTTTCCACACAGGACCGGGAGCTAGACTGTTGTTAATGGCTTCCTGAATTAGGCAGCCAAAGCCTCGTCGCTCCGCCAGACCACCTTGCCATTCCAACACCAATACATTGAAAGCTCCCTTTATGTGGGGATAAGAAGACAGTGAGTATCTCGTTGGTTCTTGATCCACCCCATTGAGAGTATCAGACAACAGAATGACCTCAAAATCTCTCTGTGCTTCAAAAAACCTCGTGTCCTCAAATCCATCGAGCCAGACAAAACCACATGACGCACCGTTAGAGTCTATAAGATGACCGGTTGCATGGAACACGTCTATGTTGGAGATTCTGTAGAACGTCGATATGGTCCAGAACTGGAGGATATGATACGCCGGGACGTCGCGGGAGAATAAAATAGTCTCTGAGGGTGCAGTGCGGCTCGTATTCAAGCCTGCCGGTGTATACCGCCCATAACTAAAGGGTCGTCTTTCCCGATAGCCCTTAAATCTTAGCTTGTCAAGAGGGAAAGATGGCTCGGAAGAAGGGTCCCAGACCAGACTGACAATCCCAGAGGAACTTCTCTTGTACCAAATGATCCATGTTTTGTCTCTGAGCATATCATTATAGCCAAGCTGGGACGGTTGCAAAGCCGATCTCAAGGGCCCGGACCAGCCTGTCCATGAATAGCTTGGAAATGCGGGGCGGCGACGCAAACTACCACTCATGGGCAGAAGAAGGATGAAAAAATCAAAGGTGGCGGTCGGAAGCCCCTCCAGGAATCGGCATCCCATGGCGACGGAGAATCGCTGCATGATACCCGCCATGGCTCGAGGAGCATCGCTCTGGTTGGTCAAGATTCGTTTTGTGTAGAATTTGAGCATCCAAGAAAAGTCGACAACAGGCTCGCACATCAATATCGCCTCTGAAAGAAGCTGCTCGACGGCTGCCATAGGTATTTCGGTTGGGATAGGAAGGTCCATCAAGTGTTCGGCCTGAGCGGTTCTTCGACAGCGGTAGAAAAGCTTGTCATCGACAAAGTAGATAGCTTTGCGTGACAACAGTCGCTCTTGGAATCTATAAGACATTAGATGACAAAGTTCCCAATCGAACTAAGGGGTGTGAGGAAGCTTACGTCCACCCTCTAGTGTCGTACATAGAACGACCTAGACGCTCATCTAACCCAACCACAACACCCATCGTGAGTCCAGGTATCACATTCTGGGTGTTTAACGATGACTTCCTGCTGCCATTCTGGACACCGGGAAGACCAGCGTTGGCGTCATGGCCACAAGCCGCCACAATGGTCAACCAGGCTCGCTCGTAAATCAGATCCATTGAGCCCACACCCTGATCTAGGTCATCGGCATCGTTCTGCATTAGACACAAGGCATCGACCCAGAGATATCGACATCCGAGACGTTGAACGACCATTATCGCATCGCGGATTGTTCTTGGAAGCCCAACTGCGACCTGGCGTAGAGACCCTGGCATGAGCAGTACTGGCCTCTTCGCCTTGGTAAGCCTAAAATTGGGGACAGAACCCCATACATAGCTCAAAGCTGTGTATTCAACAAGGTGCTGTATCTCAACTAGACATAGGGCTTGGACGTCGATTAAGCGGATGAAGGGTAGGCCGCGAAATGCCTCGGCAAACGGCACTTGAGTTGGAAGCTGGCAATGATCTCCGTGTTCTTGCTCACATGAGCGTATCCAGCCCAAGATCCTCGAGGTATCAATGAGGGATGTTGTCGGCCTAAGAAGGCATGTTCCGGGATGCGCGGCCCTCATCTCGCGGGCTGCATCATCCGTCGATTCCAGAAGGCCAAAGCTTATCCAAACATCTTGGCCAAAGTCTACGGCTTCAAAGGCGAAGCCAACTCCATATCCTTCCCTCCATACCAGTCTGATGAGTGTTTCATCGTGCAAACCCAAATGTTTTTGGTAGTGAGCCTCGACGACGAGTTGACAGAGAGGACATGAGCTGTTCTTGACCCGGGAGCCGGTGCCCAAATCGTACAATCTTGCTTTCGAGGGGTCGGAAAGTAAATCATGGAAGGGTATCCGAGCGCAATATTGGCATAGTGCTGTCGAGGACATGTTGGAAAATGAGACAAGTTAGCTATCATCTCGACGATGTAAGGTTGAGAAATATTACTGTACGCAAGGGAGATAAAGAGGGGTTGAATTCATCACGTGCAGGTGTTGGGCCAATGGGTTGTTCAAGAGCCTTTTCTCATTTCAGCCCAACTGCAGGCAGCCTGCCTAACGCCACTTGTCTACCTAAACTCCAAGATCAGTCAGCTTGACAACGCTGAGGCTGACCTGGTTAGTGCTACTAGGGGGAAGTCTTCCTCCTCCAATAATCAACAAGTAGTTATCATCTTCCTTAAAAGTCATCAAGCTCCTCGTGTACGCATTAGGCTGAGGCGTAGCGTACTCGACCCACGATCCATCAGCACCGAGGTTCTTGTTCACAAAAATGGCAGACTGGCTTCCAGCGCTGACGATGATGCTACCATTGGCTCCGCCAACCTTGCTCCAGACGACAGAAGGCGAGCTCACGGGACGGGTACCCTTGTCGGAGATGAGGGAGTGGCCTGGTGCGCTGAGGATGTTGAGGGGATCAGATGACAGGCGGTAGTGGACACGGCAGCCATCGGTGCCGCAGACTTCGTATACGTAGATGTACTGGCTGTTGGGCAGGAGAGCGAGCTGGGGCATTCCAGGGCGGGCAGAATAGTTGTTGTCGTCAACAACATCATTAACAAGGGCAGACCACGAGAGGAGGTCCTTGGTGGTCTGGTGGACGAGCTTCTGGCCATACTTGGGGTCTCGCTGGTCAGAGTAGTAGCAGACGAGCTGATCCTTGTACACCCTATCGAATTGTTAGCAACCGAACTTGCGAGTGATGGAAAGTGCACGTACATCATGTAGGGCTCCCACACTGGGGTAAGTCCATTGTTAGGTCGAGCCTCGCCTCCCTCAGCGATAGAGCTCACAAACTTCCAAGTCTTGCCGCCATCAGTGCTAGCATAGACATCGATCTTGGTCTTGCTAAGGTCCGTAGGGATACTGTTGCCGGAGCCGATAATAGTACCCTTGGGGAACTTGCCAATGGCACGAGGCAGCTCGTACAGGTCAGGCTGGTATCTCAAGCCCCAGCCATTAACCTGGTCCTCGATCTTTCCAATCTCAGTCCAACTGACACCTCCATCAGTGGACTTGAAAATGGGAAAGTAGACCAGAGGTGGCTCTGGGGAGTAGTTCTCCCAGGTGGACAGAAGCGAGCCGTCTGAGAGCTCGATGGCTCGGGCGTAGAGAACGCGAGGATCTGTCCAGCCAGCGTTGGAGGGAGGCGAAAAGATGACCTTGTTGGAGAAGGTTGAAGTTGGCAGCGCACGCTTGACAAGGGTAGGTGGCGCGTTGTCCAGGGAGTTTGGGGCAGCGGCCGGAGCAGCGAAAACGGCAGGGAGGCTAAGAAGGCCTCCCAAGAACAAGGACTTGACGAGCATCTTGGAAGAGGGACTCAACGATGATGTTGTGTGTCCTGGTCTGTCAATTCCTATGTCTTGTTGTGCTACTTATACTAAATGGCAATGTCGCGTTCCGACCTCGGCAAGTTAATAACACGAGAAACCTCGTGATGCCATACCCCTGACACCTCCGCATCTGCCGTCTACCGACGCAACCACGGAGCTTATCCCTCTAGCGCCAACACGCCAATGGTGCGGTAAATAAATGACGTCGACTCCCCAGTTCCGCACTTCCCCATTGAGATGTAACCCCCCTTCTTCTGGAAACCTCCCCCGGGAAAACCACCTGATATCCTGGTAAACCTTCGTTGTAGTGCGGGGCCCCGCGTGATGCGGAGATGGAGTTGAAACAAGCGCTCCAATCATTCTTGGGCATGGGTTATGGAAACTTTTGGAGCTTGGCTGTGAGTGGCCGAATAGGGTTGGGTAAGAGGGGTTTATAGGGATCGGCGTCAGTCCATATCAACAAGGTTAGAGGGATATAGAGCGGAACTGTTACTCGAACGGTGAATAGCTTCAACCGCACCACTCGGGGGAACAGGAGCCGAACCTTGAATGGTCAGATTGTTAACCCCACCAATGTCTGTGAAGGAAGGAGTTGGTTGCAAACCTGGGGTTAGCTATATATCCGCAAGCCACCTCCGCAAGTACTAAGACTAAGCTGGTCAGGGACTCTTTAGCACCCCCAAGTTTGCGAAAGATGAAGTCGATTACCAATCTTGCACTTTGGTGCTCTTTTTTCACGGCTGGAGTTCAGGCTTTCCAGAATCCTATCCGAAGGCCGGGTCCTGATCCCTCTGTAGTATATGCGGATGGATACTATCATCTGTGAGTACTAATGTTCCATGGCGACAAGATGGATGCAAGCCAGTTCTTTGCAATGATATAGATGTGCGGTGTTAATGCTTGACAGGACATACACGACGTATAACCACATTGAGATCACAAAAGCTGCCAAACTTGGAGATCTCATCAACGGAGAAACCAAGACGATATGGACCGACACCAACAGAACCCGCAGTGCCAACATGTGGGCACCGGAAATTCATCGAATCGATGACATCTGGTATATGTTCTACTCAAGCTGTAACGCAGATCTGCCGTGCTGTGACAGCTGCGAGACTCGGGTTCTGAAAGGCTGCGATGCTGCGGGTCCTTCAGACTGTGAGTACGAGCACCTGGCGGATCTTGTTCCCCCCAAAGGCTCGCAGGGACAGGCAGATGGCAATTTTGCTTTCAGCATTGATGGAACTTACTTGGAGATCCCTGGCAAGGGGCGTTTCCATGTGTTGAGCATTATTAACAAGGACCTTTTGCAATCAATCGCCATCACTCGTCTAGATACTGAGAATTGGACGGTGGACGGCTGGCATGTCATTTCTATTCCAGATCAGCCGTGGGAGATGAACACGACCAACTCGAACCCAAACTCTATCACTGCTGTCAATGAAGCCCCCCATGTAAGTTATCCTTATAAGATGACGAGAGAAATGCGTGCTGACAAGACAGCCTCTTTACCATAATGGGGAGATCTGGCTTTCTTACTCTGGATCGTACTGCGGAACACCCAATTATGCTCTTGGACTCTTGCACTACAACGGTGGAGATCCCTTGAAGGCTTCATCATGGGATAAGATTGGCCCCGTGTTCTCTCAAGCCAACGGAAACTACGGCACCGGTCACAACTGCTTTTTTACTTCTCCCGATGGAAGCCAAATCTGGGTTTGTTCTCCAGGACCCCAAAGTATAAGGACATAGCTAACAGTCTTGTAGAACGCCTTCCACGCAACCAGTAACTCGAGAGGATCTTGCGGTGGCGACAGATATGCCCTCGCTCAGCTGGTGACCTTCAAGCCTGGCCAAACACCAGAGTTCGGTGTGCCGCAGCCTCTTTCTGCTGTGTTGGATCCTCCCAGTGGAGAATAGTTTGATTAATGTGGTTCTTTGAGTAATACGTGCCTGGGTATCATGCTGGTGGACATTATCACAACCCTCGTCTAAGAATGAACGAAAATGCAAAGAATTCTTTCGTGAAAATCATCTAAACATCATCCAATGTTTATTTAACTTTAGCTTTCTTCTATGCTCTCTCTGACCATCTCTATCGCGTTAAAAAGGTCGATCTAGTCCTCTAGCCTTTCCTTAACAAAGGTATCTAGCTCCTAAGGCTCTATTAAGATATCGCTTATATCTCTATCCTAGATATATATATCCCCGTTAATTATTATCCTATCTTCTAGCTCTATAGTAATAGCTATAGCCTTATAGATCTTACCCTTAAAGTTATCTAGCTTCTTATATTAAGATATTATTTTTAATAAAAGGAGGTATTTATCTACTACCGAGGTTTTATTAGCCTACTTAATAATAGCTAGATAGTCGCAATTCTTAAGGGCATATCATACGTAGCCATAAACCTTGGCGGGGCGAGTAGGGTAGGCCATGGTTTCGATATCGGATGCATCGCCGTTTAGGGCCTAGGCTAAGAGAGGTAGGGCTCTTAGGGTTCCGTAAATAAAGAGTGGTCTTGGTGTTGGTTGATTGCTCATTTTGCTAGTGATGAAAATGATGCTTGTATGACTATGATTCAGAGCAAGATATTCGCGAAATTGTTATTGGTTGTTGTGATGAAAAGTAAACAAACGAGGATGAATAACTTCAGGCAACATGCATTTTATCACAGCCGGCAAACTTTAATCCGCAAACCCAACTCTATTCAATTATATATTAACAAAAAAATTTTAATAGCCGATGGCTTACGTTGTGTTCAAAGATAATATGTGCCAACTTTGGCAATTCGTTAAGATATTATACTCAAGCTCTAACTAAGATATTCCTCCTTGTACTCCTGTTGACTTATTCTAACCCTCTCGTACGAAGGTTAGAGTAGTCAAAAACCGGTGATACGCTAGACTTTTTATAATGATATAGCTAGGTATGACTCTTCTGCTATTGCAGAAGGTTTTTCTTTTCTTTATAGCAATAAGCAAGGTAAAATTAGCACATATTTGGCCAACGCCATATATTAATACCTAGTCAGTTTTAAGAAATCTTATTGGTATAGGGTCAATGGTTTATTCTATATTATTCTCGTTACCAAGGTGGTCCCCAAAGCAATAAAGTCGTTATCATATATGTACAAGAATGAGATCCAATTAACGGATATCTTCGTGTTTCAAAAGACTCATCCAATGCAGTGGGGGTTGAACCTCTTTCTAAAAGACTCAAGCTCCAACAGGTCCTTCTTCAAAACGCTTGGCCGGATCCTCTGTAGCCCCTTGGCAAAATGTGTTAAACCAAGACGCATCTTATCTGGTCCATCAGATGAATCATTCTCACGGCCTTTCTTGCTGTTCTCAATAGCCCAGATGAGCGCCGCCTCTGCACACAGACTGCGTAGGTCAGACCCCGAGTAACCTTCTGTTTCCCGGGCCAAAGAGTCCATGTTAACCAACGGTTCCAACTCTTCACCCTCGAGAAGCACTCTCAATATATCGGATCGGGACTTCATATCTGGAAGCCCTATTGGAATCTTCTGTGGCAGGCGACGTAGGAAAGCATTGTCGAGGGAATTGGGGCGATTAGTAGCGAGAATAACACAAGGCGCCTTGTCGTTCTGTGCTAACCCATCCATCTGCATGAGGAATTGTGTCACGGCGCTTCTCTCCCAGGTCCTTCTTGCCATGCCGCGATCGTAAAACAGAGAGTCCACTTCGTCAATGAAGAGGACGCAGGGATGCAACTTTGTGGCCAAGGTGAATGCTGCCTTGATGTTCTTTTCGATTTCCCCAACATACTTGGATAGTAAACTTGCACCGTCAACGCAAAGCATGGATGCCCCAGATTCTTTGGCGATCGATCGCGTGAGATGTGTCTTTCCCGTTCCAGGAGGCCCATAAAGGAGTATCCCCTTGATACGAGCCTGGCGGAGTAACGAGGTGGGTGGGGTGGAGGGCGTAAGATATGATGAGGATACTAGATGCAAAACCGTTTCCTTGAGCTCGTTGTCGATGATTACTTGTGAATAACTCGACTGAATCTCGTCTTGAAGCCGCCAAGGTTAGAGATGAGGTGTACCAAGCCGAAGGTCTTTGTCTTGACTTTTGACTTACCTGGATTGATGACACAATCCACCAGATTCTGCTCAGCCGAGTTACACTTTTGGCGGAGGGCTGTCATCTTATCCTTCCAGGTCTGCTTTTTATCCTCGACTGGCTCCTCATTGTCAAGGTCCCCCCCAACGTCTTCCGGGTCTTCCCGAGGCGCTGGGCTGGTCTTATTCACCGGCTTCTCATGCGTGTGAAGACCTAATCTTGACAGTACAAGTAGGATATCAGCTGCATCTAGTTTCTCTTTGCCGAAAGAGCGGCCGTGCAACTGTAGGAAGGCTCCATAAATCTTATCCTCGTCCCATTGCTCATCGCCAAAGCATTGCCCTGGTTCTTTGCACACCAGCTGCTTCCAGTCCGCGTGTGGATGAAGAATCATAGGGTCAAACACATGGGACATGGTCTGTCTCAAGATCCGCTTCAGTCTGCGAATCTTTACTGTAGCCATGTAATCTTGGTGTTTGAAGTTGATCCGATCCGCATTGATCGGGGTCACCAAGTGGTTGGAAAGCATGGTCGCGCAAGTGTTGTGATAAATAAGCTTCCGGTTGAAGCTATGTCCATCGACGCACTGTTGGCACGCGCAGTCGACCGGGTTCCGTGCTTGGATGGTTAGGACAACCGCAATGGTCTCGCCTTTTTCTCGTCGCTGTTGAATACTATCGCATAGGCGACCTAGAAAACGATGCCCGTTTCCCAACGACAACATGGTTGCGGTTTCGCGGATGTGGACTAGAACTGGGCCAGTCGAATCAGGCTGTCCATCTTGTGTGGCTTCGGTTGCGTCTCCATCTTCCGGGACGCCTGCGGCTTGATTACTTGGAACAGCGTCAAGGATCGTTGAGTAGCTCCTTTGTGTTTTCTCCCAGGCTTCTTTCTTCGCGTCGGTGTCAAATTCGGAAGATGACGCGAACCAGTGCTTGGCCATGCGAGAATCCCAATCCAGCTTCTTGTCCATTTTCTTATCAGGTTTGCTCTCCGAAGGGTTAACAGGGCTTTGTTGACTAAACTCGAGGGCCAGGTCTTCGAGATCTTCGTAATCATATGATATCAGGGATGTGCCAATCTCTTTTGCAAGAGCCTTGACGAGTTCGTCGAGAAAAACGATAGGCGTCACCTCATGTCCACCATCGAGGATGACAAAGGACTGTTTTGGGTCTAGGCTACCTTCGGAGTTTCGCGCAAAGGCGGACGCCAGGATGTCGCGTAACATTGAGAAGTTATCAGATGATACCTGGCAATTCTGAGGGCCTTGAGGCTGATTCTCAGATTGATCGTTGTCAGCCTTATCCAGAAGCTTAGTATCTTTCGCTCCTGTGGTGTCAACAATCTCAATTCTGGGATGTATCTTGTCGAAGTTTTCCTTCAAGATGATGTTGTGGCTGAGGAACCACTTTGGGAGTTGGAGACCGCTCATCGTGATGGTTGGATGATGATGAAATTGGAATGAGACCGCCGATAACAAGATGCTGCGCTGTGTATCTTTTATAAGATAAAAGAAAGATGTCGGCTTATGAAACGTATACCGGGAGCGATGAGTTATTGCGGGTCTGCTGATGGATGCCTAGCTGGCTGCCTGGTTTGTTTTCACGATTTTTGCCTTCATTGGTGGACCGTTTCTTTGATATGCATGTCAAAAACTAGACCATGCGAGATTTGAGTCACTGAAAAGTCGGTAAACTTTGTTTGCCAGTGAGTGGCCTTCGGGAAATTTTACATTGATGATATGAGCTTGCAGATAGATGTATGCTTCCTCAGGGGAGGCCTGTCTTTGTCAAATCTCAAACTCAAGGTTTCCGTTTGCACAGTTTAAGCTTCGTTGATTGAGACGCAAAAGGCCAATACTATGTAGGTTATGACATGATTACTGGGTTACTAATGGTATGTCTTGATGTGCATATTTGTTATGGTAAATGATGCACTTGGCTGCATATACTGTTAGAGTAGTCAAACAGAATGAATCAATACGGAAGCAGTTTATTCCATCCTTATTCCGGTTTGATAGTCCATCAGGTGCCCCTTATGAATTCTCCAAGCCTTTCTCTAGCAAAGCCACAACCCCCGCGTACACCTCTTGGCAAAAGTCCTCACTCCCTGAACAGTAACTATTGTTGTGCAACTCTCCCCCCAAGCATCGTGTGACTGCGGTTCCATAATTGGAGCTAGCCATCCGAATCTCGCCCAAAAGGCAGTGCGCAGTAGAGTAGTCAATGAGGGGACTAGATACTTCTTGAGGGCTCCTGAATGATGCAAGAGTCTTTCCGAGAATTAGCTCGATCAAGAGCACCCCCAATGACCACAAAGCTGGGTTGCAGAATGGTGGCGAAGTCTCTTTCTCCTTCCCGGCATTTTTGTTTCTCAGAAGAAAAGGCCTGGGGTAGATGGGATAATCCTGCTTCTTCATGAAGAAGATGTCACTGCTGGTGAGCGTATCTGGTAGCCATGAATTGCCATGAAGCTGAAGGATGCTCGACGAGGCCACCACAGCGAGGTGCAAACGGTCTCGATAAGGTAGATGGATCGAGTTGTCCTTCTGTTCGAGGATCTCCCTCAATGAGATGACTGAGCGACAGGGCGCATCTGTGTAGTCTGAGAACCGAATGGGAGAAAGCGAGTACCCCTTCACTCCGAGAGCCACGTTATCGAGAATTGTTCCATACGAGCCAATACCCGTCTGCTTCCGCCAACCTTGATTCTCTGGCAGAGGCTGAGATGACCCATGGCTGGCGTTGCGCACGCAATCTTCTTCACCTCGGGGAGAGTGTACTTGAGAGAACCCACATCACGGCCAACGTGAACATGCAAGCCAGTGCTTCGGTTTGCCTTCCATCTCACCACCTGGTTGATTGCGCTGATCCCAGCTCGGAGTTGGTTCTTCCAGGCATTGGTCTCAATACCACGAAAGATGGGAGAAATGAGCTCGAAACCGAATCGTCGTCGAAACTCGCTGCCATCAGCCTCAGAACCAGAGGTGGCCTCGTTCACGGTGATATCCATGGCGACATTCCAGATGCTATAGTCTGGCCCAGAGCCGCGAGTGGTTAAAGGAAGGTAAACACGGGATTTAAGACCCGCATCGTCGAGGGCACTAAAGAGGAGGTAAAGCTAAACTTTAATCTTTAAGCTCAATTAACCTATTAAGGGCTAGGCTATAATTATAATAAAAAATAAATCTTAAATATAATATAATATTATAACTTAATATTAATATAATAACTTAATTAAATTTTTATAATTTTTTTTATTATTAAATATAAAAATTAATATTTTTTTTTAAGACTTAAAATTAAATAATATTAAAAAAAATATAAAGCTATTATTAATTTATAATATTAATATAATAATTAAGCTTTATAAATAATAAGCCTTTTTTAATAATAATAATTATATTAAGTTAATTATTTTAAGTATTAAAATATTTCTTATAATATTAAAATACTTAAAAATATTTAAAATATTTAAGCGCTTTATATAATAATATTAATTATTAAAATTATATAAATTTTAAATTCTTATAAGCTTAAAATATAAAAATTATATTTTTATTATAATTATAAAAAATAATATAAATTAAATTAATAATTTATTAAAGCTAATTATAATATTAAAATTAATATAAAAATAAAAATAAAAATAAAAAAATTAATTATAAAAAATATTATAATTTAATATAATTTATATTATATATTTAAAATTTCTATATAAAATAATTTTTAATTTTAATTAATTAAAAATAATTATATATTTTAAAAAATAATTTTATATTATAAGATTTATTTTTATATTATAATACCTTTTTAATAATTATAAAATATTTATATATATATATAATATTTATTATACCTTAGATAAATACTTAGCTCTTAAGCTATTAATAGACTTTAGTTATTTTTAAGACTTTCTTAATTTATTATTAAGATATAATTCCCTTATTATATAATAATACTAAGATTTTTTATTAATAATAAATTAATATACTTAGTTTATTCCCTTAGAAAATATTAAATATTATAAGGAGGGGATTAAGGTTTTTAAGTTATTAAATTATAAAAATAACTTAAGGGAAAAAAAAAAGGTTTTAATTATAAAGATAAAAAGATTTAAGTAATAAAGGAATATAAGCTTAGTTAGAGCTTAAATATAATATCTTAGTAAATTACTAAACTTATTTAATTAATATATATATTATTTTTAAATATAATAAAAGCTAAACTTTAGTATAAGTAAGAAGGGGAGTAAAAGAGCCTACTCTTTTTATAGTAACTCCTTTAATCTTAATATTAATAAATAGTGATATGTTATAGGCTTGCTAGTATGACTTTGCGATATTAAGTATAGTAATATTATTAATTGCTAAGTTTTAAGTTTAGGAAACGTGGACTTAAGAAAGGCATGCTCTGAAAAATACTTATTATCTTGCTATATATTATCCTATTTAATTCGCGTTTGTAGCTGAATTGGCTTAATTTAGTTATCGCTATTATTCGCTTGCCATTGGCATTCCTGTCATATTTGACAAACAAGAATTAAGGCAATGTAAGCTTTTTATGGTTATAACCAGTACACGTGTAGTCCCCAGATAGGGCAATTAAATTAGTCTTTAACTACGATATGGTGATGTGAAGTTTCCCGTTGAGATATGTGACTTTCATTAAATCACAGGCAGATTGATGTGTTGGTCCCAATGAGGAAATTTAGAGCTGCAGGGTACAGTGAAAAGCGGTGGTCCAAGCGCCCCCCCTGGCACGTGCATGAATATGGTTAGACAGTGACCAAAGGCTATTGTGCAAACCTTTTGTTTTCGTACTTTTTGTTGAGTAACTGACTTGCGACGTAAAACGTCACGGAGCTTCAAAGTTCACCGGTAGAGGCAGCAGCCAAAAAAAATTCCGTTGCCGGGCCATCTTATAAAGGTGTGACGCCTGCCCCGAGATCGATCACTCCTTTTTTTCCCCTCGCATCTCCAACTTCATCCACCACAACATCGCATCCACCACTGGTTCATCAATCCTCATCACCATCTCGCCAACAACTGATTCAATCACTCGAATCTCACACCTACCATTCTTTCAGTTCCCTGTGGGGGACCTCAACATAAGAGATGGCCAAGCAATCAACAACGCCACGACCTTTGTTTGTTTACGGCACACTGAGAGCCATACCACTGCTATCATGGGCTTTGACCGGTAATGCCTCAGACACGAAAGATATGCTTCCGCTTCTTCATCCAGCCAAGGTGCACGGCTACGCGCGATTCGCTCTTCCCAGCCGCGACTATCCAGCCGTCGTGAAGCATACAGATGCATCTGTAGTCGATGGATACCTGCTTCTTCTACAAACAACATCACAACGCAAGAAGCTGGACGACTTTGAAGGCGGGGCATACAAAGTTACGCCCGTCACCGTTGAGCTAGTAGACGGGACCACCATTGATGCGGATATGTATGTTTGGGATGGGGATGCGAGCGCTGTGTCTACTGAGCCATGGGATCTCGACACCTTTATCAAGGAAAGACTGGAGGATTGGCTTGACCTTTTTGAGGGAATGAAGCTGGTTGGAGAGGATTCCGATTCCGAGCAAGACTAGCTTCAGTATTCACACTGGACTGAAATGCGCCCATTCTATTAGCCCTGCTACTACCTGCTGGGAGCCCAGGATAATTCTAAAACTGATTGTTTTAATCCCTACCCTAGATGGTCCCACGGCCCAAGAGTGGCTGTATTAATATCTGGATAAGTGCCCCCTCGTTAAAGAGGAATGAAAAACATTGGGGTTCTCAATCCCTATCTTGGAGCATCGTCTGTAGCATGCAGGAGTTGATCTAGCAAACTCGTCTTTGATTGCCGCTGCCCCTGTCGCGGTCGATAAATACGGGCCTAAGCCCCCTCACTACGGCACTTCGGCGCGAACTCTTATCTTCGGAACGAGAACCCCTCATAAGCTCGCCGATTCCAAGAGTCATGTGCACTTGGAGTATGGATACTCTGGGTGTGTTATCGCCCCAGCTTTTTTCGCTTGCGAACTTGAGTTATGACTCAGCTGGACATGATGCCTTCCAGCCACACTCAGAAGAATGAACCTCGGCCTATAATATTAAAAGTAGCCATCCAGCTGCAGAGACTAGTCATAGCTCATCCCCATCCTTGCAACTCTCTCCATTGAGGAAACACTATCACTGTAGACCAATGACTTCCCCCGAGACCATGGACAACGCCAGGGCCACCCGATGGCTGCAAACCCCCATGGGCCGTACCATCACCGCCCAGATTGAGGCAGATCCGGGTCTTCCGCAGTCCAACAGCACCATCTCGTCATGGCAAGTCCCCGTTCACCCCGACGTTGGACGCATCCAATCCGAGGCCCTACCCCAGTTTTCCGATTACATCGTCATCGGCTCAGGGGTTGCTGGGTGCGGCGTCGTCAAATCCCTGCTGGAGAACTCGTCTCCAGCCAACTCATCTGTCACGGTGCTCGAGGCTCGTGGCCTCTGCAGCGGTGCTACCGGCCGGAACGGGGGTCAGCTAGTCAAGCCCTACCCCAGTCGCTTCGTGCAGCTTACCCAGGACTTTGGGGTCGACGTTGCTGTGAAGGTCTTTAGGCTGGCCAACCACACCCTGGAGGAGATGCACAAGCTCGCAAGCTCATATGATGACCAGCTTTGTGAGGATGCCGCCGCCCGCAGGGTGACCAAGATGGTTGCATTCATGGACCAAGAGTCCTGGATCCAGGGCCAGAAGGATGCAAAGTTCTACGAAGAGCACATGCCTGAGGAGAGAGGGCTGTTCAAGTTCTTTACTAAGGAGCAGATGGAAAAGGTAAACCCTGAAGAATGGTCGACGCGCTTATCTCTGTGCACCAATACTGATGCTTATTAATCGCAGGAATGGAATGTCAAGGGATCGTATGGCGGGCTCTCATTCCCATCTGGCGTGTGCTGGCCCTACCGCCTCATCACCGGCGTCTTCAAGCGCCTCCAAGACCAGTTCCCCAATCGACTAAACATCGAGACCAACACTCCAGTTACCACCATTCTCTACGATGAAAAGGCAGATCCCAAGTATCCTTATATCATCACGACTCCGAGGGGCATTGTGAAGGCAACCCATGTTATCCATTGCACTAACGGACACACTGGACATCTACTGCCTCGCCTGCGAGGAAAGATCTTCCCAATGCGGGAGGCCATGTCGGCGCAGGATGTTGGAGACAAGATGCCCGACATGAGCGACCAGATGTCCTGGACATTCCTGGAGGAGCCCAAGTTCGATTCCAAGACGGGAATGATAAGGATTGGCTGGGTTTATGGCCTGCAGAACAGGAACAACGGTGGATTCTGGATCGGTGGCGAGGACCGTCGCCCAGAGGAGATGATCGCGTCTGACGACTCGGTCATTAGCATACAAGGCAAGGTTGATCTTGAGACCAAGCTGACGCAGGTCTTCAACCAAAACTGGGTCCCCAAACAGCCTGAAATCCAGGGCATCTGGACCGGCATCATGGCTTCCACTGGCGATACCTTGCCTTTTGTGGGAAATCTCCCCGCCAGTGTTACAGGACGGCCGGGCAAAGGAGAATGGATCGCTGGCGGGTGGAACCAGTATGGCATGACGAATGGACTGACTTGCGGGGACGCCTTGGGGAGAATGGTGCTTGGATTGAAGGTGCCCGAGATTATTCCCACGGAGTACTTGATCACTGAGGAAAGACTTGGTAACAAGAAGTTTGCAACGGAGGCGTCAGCACTTGATTACCTTCAGTGGACAAAGGTTGGGGCTACGATTGAGAAGGAGGATGCATCTCCCGTTAGCTGTCTATAGGATGTTCGAAAGGGCAAAATAATGAGAGCTCATTTCATAAACATTCAAAGTATTAATGGCAAACTGAAAACAGTGGGTGGCAAACAGCTTAGGGATTATGGGGGGCTTGGTTACGCTGTGAGTAAGACCATAACTGCTACAACCTATTCACTGGAATGTTTATAATCTGGGGAAGCTTTGTTGCAGACCAAGGTATCAAGCCTAGAACTAGATGTGATTGACATATGTAGTTGATCGCCGCGAAGGTTTGAGTGAATCCTGGTGCATCAAACTGACCTCGCTTGATCACTTATTCATGGCACCGACTTCTCGTTATCACCACGAACTCGTCGATGCAGCGTGTTCCAAATCTTCAGGTCACTGCAGATTAAACATGACCTTGTTTGGGAACGAAATGGTAGTGAAAAAGTGACCAGTGAGAAACGTAGGGGGAGACGGGAAGCCAAGCAAGTTGGCAAAAACTAAGAGTACATCGCAACAGGGTCGTACCCTTAACCAGAAGCATGATGCGTGGCCTTTCTCTTCCGACCCAGACAGAACAACTCGCCTATTTCGCGCCAGAACCCAATTTGTGGTTCCACGATAGACGCCTCATGGGCATCAATCTCCGGGCGCTCCCAGACCAGGTCCGCCTCATGAGGCTTGACAAACTTGGTTCCCTTGAGAATCTTCCAAAAGCCAAATGTCAAAAACGCCAAAAGAAGAAAAGTATAGTTGATAAAGAAGCTGGAAACACTCCAGGGCATAAATGTCTCGTAGCCGAAGGTGAGGATGACTATTGTCAAGAGTGTGGTGGCGGCGTACGCCATGTAAGGCTGGCCCCAACCGCAGTACGGCAACGTCTTGCGGTCGATACCTTGGGCTTTGAGGGCTCTGTAGAAGAAGATGTAGGTTATTGTCATTGTCAGGAAAGTGACGAGACCGGCCGCGGTCGTTAGCGAAATGAGCCTGGAAAGATAGATTAGTTGTTGTTCCGCATCTGTAGGAAGTATTTGTCTTTGTCGCAACATACCAGTTGTATACTTCAACAGTTGAACTACTGAGCTGCAGAAATGCGATAGCACAGAAGATGATAGTAAATCCAAGACAGTAGAGAGGCACGCCGCTCTTGGTAACCTTGAGCAGGAACTTGGGGGCAAACCCTCGCTCTGCCATGGCGTAAAGGCCTCGAGAGGCAGCAAAGACGTAGTTGTTTCCGGCCGAGATAATGCTAGTCAAGAGCAGGGCGTTGATCATGCTCGGGAATGTCGAAATGCCCATGTTGCTGGCAGCGATGACGTATGGCGACCCAGCCGCAGAGCTCCCGGCATCAGAGGTTCCTTCCACGATGGCGACAAGCTTTGGGTCGTTGGCTGCGATGACGATGCCGATACAGAGAGCCGATCCAACAAAGAAGAGAAAGAACCGTAAATACATGCTCTTGAAGGCGTTCTTGATTGTGTATCGTGGGTTCCTGGCCTCTCCAGCGATGGCGGAGATGGATTCAGGCCCGACGACGACAAAGGCTGCGTTGTAGAAGCAGGCTAGGAAGCCTCGAAACCTGCCGACTGAGCCCGTGTTTCCGTATTCGAGGAACGAACCCTGTTCATTTTAGCGGTCAGTAAATATCTCCATGATTGTTAGACAAGCCGCCATCTATCTCTTACCGGGTTGTTCCAATACCGAAAGCCATATGCGTCGTATCGGGGGTTTCCTCCCACCATGGTGACAAAGGTGAAGAAGAAGACGGAGACAAGGAGAAGGACTTTGCCCAGAGACATCCAGAACTCGACCTCGCCAAACCAATTCACAGCCACAATGTTCAGAACGCTGCAAATCATCAGCATCAGGAAGTTAAGATGACGCACCATGGCCATGTCACATATGACTCAGAAGCAACTTACGTGTAGAATACTATCATGGCGCAGATGACGGCGGCAACTGGGATGTCGTCACGCCAGAAACCCATCACCAGGCTCGCACCGACGAGCTCAAATGGAAGCGTGAGGGCGAACCAGAAAAAATAGTTCCAGCCGACCATGAAACCGAATGCCTCATCAACCCATTTGCCAGCGTGCTGGATGAGAGCTCCTGGAACAGGCATGAAGGTCACCATCTCAGCCGAGCAGTTAACCACCATGCCCATGATAAGAGAGTATAGGATGTATCCCAAAAACAGACTGCCCGGCCCGCCTTGGGCGAGCGGTGTGCCCAGCGAGACGAACACGGCCTGGCCGATGGTACCGCCAATGGCAAAGAGTTGGATCTGGCGGTTGTTGAGCCGGCGCTGGAGCTGGGAACTGACAGGGATGGTGAAGCTTTGGCCGACGGGGCTGCTCGATGAGCGATGTAGACTGATATTTGCATCATCTTTGCCGGTCTTGGTTGCTCCACCGGTTTGGTGGGCAGAGTCTGATTCCATGGATATTGACATTTCGATCGACACGAGGCTATATCACAGACGAGGTCTCTACGAAGAGAAAGGAAGGAAAAAGAAAGCAAGTCACGATGAATGTGGATAACTTAAGAGCCAGGAAGGCCAACTGGTCCGTTTAATATGCGGATCCCCTCAAAGTGGTTCTGTTTTATCACGACAAGTCTCCAGGGTATTCCAGTCATGGCTCGGGGTTCGGAGCGAAATACGGTGATAGCCGGAAATGCTAGACAAGAAAGGGGATAAACACATCCAGAGGCGAACCAACCACTGCCATTCGCTGGACCGCTTTATCGTTATCTTGGCAAGAATATCTAGCGAGTCATGTTTATCGGCGCGAAGAGTCCGGGATGTTTATCCCCGATTTTGTCTAGCTTCTGCAAGGGCCCCTTGGGGTAAGGCACGTCAGAAACCAGTGGCCCTAGACAGAACGTGGTTCTCCCCGCAACTAACGTTAGGCCAGAGAGCTATCGTAACCCCAAGGGCATTACTGACTCCTTATCAACTGTCACGATTACCCCGCCTTTCCTCTCTCTCTTCCTCCTTGGCAGACAGTCTCCTCTGTAATGCAGTTTGTCATCTGAAGCTATGGATTCCATTGCAAGTACTATCGACCAAGAAGCAATTCCGGCTCCATCAGACAAGGGAGTCCGTGAAGCTTCCCACCCTCAACAGGATGTGGAGGTCAGCATGCATCATTTACTCTTTGATTCGCTGCCTCCAGAGCCACCACGTAAACGGAGGAGAGGAGGGAAGATATACTCGGTAATAGACCTGACAAATACTTGCAAATCATGTTCTACCATCCTGACCGTCAACTCTACAGGGTTGTGGCACATGTCGCACACGAAAGATAAAGGTGAATTGGTGTTTATCGATGCCATTTTTGTCTGAGACTGATTATGCTTCCCTAGTGCGATGGACGTCGTCCTAGATGCTACAATTGCGAACGGTCCCGTCTTTACTTTTGCGATGGCTACGGAGATGTGAATCACACCAACGGCAACATTCTGTCTGCTCAAGAGGTGACCGATTCAGTATTAAGCCATCTCGAATGCTTGCCCAGTACCTCACCGTCGGACAGGTTCCAAGGTTCTCTGCCAGACGTGAGTACCATAGACACCGATATTACTTCTTGGGGGTCCTTCGGAGAGTATATGAGTATTATCAACAACCCTCACCCTTTACGTTTCGCTTCAGATAGCCCAGGCGAGCACACCGAGGGCTCAAACAACCTTTGCAATGACGGCGGGCTTGGCGAGACTCAGGACGAAGCCACCAGCCCCGGTGTGGAAGTTACACCATCTTCATCATTTGAGGCAGAAGTCACATCTGAGGCAACCCGCAAGCTGCTGGATCATTACCGCACCCATGTATGCCAGCTTATGATGCCCACCTCAGCTCCATCACACAACCCTTGGCTTCAACTTTACCTCCCGCTAGCTGTCAAGAGCCCTTCAAGCTTGCCACAACAGATCCTCCTCTACGCCATCTTAGCTGTTGCGTCCTTCAACAGATCGTACCTGGTGCCCTTGAGCAGGGTCCATGACTTGAAAAAGGGCCGGGAATATAACGAGCGCGCAGTAACGCACATGAGGTCAATACTTGACTCGGAAGACGCGTCCGCTGTGGTGGGGGAAGATAAAAATGCACGGCAAGCATTGATGGCAGCTGCTTTGACGCTGACAACAGCAGAGGTTTGTCAAATATGTCCTTTATCATCATGCACTGTCTCTGATTCATCGGCGCAACACAGGTATTCAGCGGAGCAAGCCAGGGAGACGGCTATGAGCATCTCCAGCTGTGCAAGCAGGTTATCCAGATCACTGGAGGAGTGAACTGGTGGGCATCAGATCCTGCGTGTCTCACACTTCTACAGATATTCCGCTGTCTGCATATCGTTGCGTCAACATCAGGACGACTGGAAGTTGTGGATCTCCAGCCACGAGACTTGCAGTCGGCCATAATACCTGCTCCAGTGGGAGACTATACCCTTGACATCACCTTTGGCGTCTCCATCAAGACTCTGCAGTGCTTGAACAAGATTATCGAGTTTTCCAAGATGAAGTCAACACTTGGAACCAACATGCCCTGGCCGGACGACAAGATCTCATCGCTCCTCGAACTCGAAGACGAGCTCTTCGATCCGCTAGAGGCTCCTGAACTGCTCAAAGACCGACACTCTTTCCCCAGCTCCGACTCCCAGGGAGGCATGCCGGGTTACATTGCCGACCTGATCACCGAAAACCACATGTTTGCCTTCCATTATAGTGCCGCCATCTTCTTCCGGAGAGCCTTGTGCGACGGCTTGGCTCACATTTCGCCTGCCGTGAAGAGGAGCTCGGAACCCAAGACACGTCCAACGGGCCAATATTTGGTTTCAAAGGCGTTGGATCATCTCGAGAATATTGACGCACTGTCGCGCAACATCGCAGTAGCCAACACACTGTGGCCTGGATTCATTGCGGCTGTCGAAGCGGTTGATACCGACTTGAGACATCGCGCCTTGATCTGGCTTGAGCGCGCCAAGCGTCATGGGATTGGCAACATTCAGCAGTCTAAGTCATTGGTGATGGAAATATGGAGAAGAGCGGATCGACAGTTTGGACCTCAGGGGAATCAAGACGGGTTGGAAGTAGAGCTGGGAGGTGTGGATTGGAGGCAGGTCATGCGGGACAAGAACATGTACATCATGTTGACATGAGACTGTATTTCCTACGTAGGGCTATGGTTCTGTCTCTCTTAACTATCATGCCTTGTTCAAAGAAGCCTCCTTGCGACTTTGCAAAACGTCGCCAACAGCTTGCACGAGTATCTGGCCCAGGCTTCGTATTTCCTTTTCAGTGGCGACAAATGGAGGGCAGAGCAGAACTGCGTCCACGGCAGGCGAGCAGAGGTAGACTGCAGCGCCGAGCTCGAAAGCTCGACGTGAGACTTCACCTGCCAAGGGACCACCGCAGAGCTCCTTCATATTACCAAGGTCGACTGTCCGGAAGAGTCCGAGCCCTCTCAGGCTGCCCCCATGCTGCCTCCACTCATCGGGCAGTCCAGAACAGCCAACTTGGGCCAGAATTTCCCCCAGCTTTCTGCATTGGGAGACCAAGTCATCCCGGAACAAAATATTTTGCACAGTGAGTGCGCCAGCACATGCCATCGGGTGGCCCTGGAAGGTGTGTCCGCTCAGAAAGGTCGTTGGCCCTCTTGAGTGCTTCTCAAAGACGGAAGCCACTCGCTCTCCTAGCAGGACAGCTGAAAGTGGTTGATAACCGGCGCCCAAGCCTTTCCCGACGGTCTGAAGATCCGAGGCAACGTTTCCCAAGCTCTGCCATGCGTGGTAGCTCCCACATCGTCCCATTCCGCACATGACTTCATCGAAGATGGTCAAGATTCCGTATTTCTTGCAAAGCTGTGTGAGCTTCGGGAGATAGTTGGCAGTTGCAGGGACTGATCCAAGCGTTGCTCCCACCACCGGCTCGACAATCACGGCAGCCACCGTCTCAGGACCGAGTTTCTTGAACTTGTCCTCGTATTCCGAGATGAGTTTGTTTTCGTACTCCTGCTCGGTCTGGCCCTTGCCATCGGCATCGTAGAAGCAACGGCTGACATGGTGGAATGTAGGTGCTAGCACAGACTCAAATGTGGCTCGTCTTGCTGGGTTGTTTCCAGCCGCGAGGGCACCAAGAGTGTTGCCGTGATATGAATGCGCCCTGCCGATGAAGTTGATACGCTGTGGCTCTCCGCGGTAGACGTGATACTGGCGAGCCAACTTGAGGGCAGACTCGACAGCTTCGGAGCCCGAGGTGAGATAGAGAACTTTGCTGAACTGGCCGTCGCTCTTCTCCAATATGAGACGCCCGAGCTCCTCGGCAGGATCTGAAGTGAAGAAGGAAGTGTGGGCAAACGACAGCCTCTTGGCCTGATCGCAGATGGCCTGGATCACTTCTTGATTCCCATGTCCGAGGCAAGAGACGGCGGCGCCACTACTGCCGTCGAGGACTTTGCGACCATCAGAGGTCAGGAGATAGACGCCCTCGCCGCCTGTTGCGGTGGGGTAGGTCTTATCTAGAGAACGGTGGAGAAGCACCGAGTTCTGTGGTGATGACATGTTTGGCTGGCTGTAGGCGAACAAGCGGTTTGATAGGCCGACAAAGTGGCTAACTGGCACTGTCAGTTATTATATCCACGATCCTTGACCGAAGGGGCCCGCAAATCGAGGGGTCAAGATAGCGAGAATGTGATCTCGTAAATGCGGCCCACACCACAATCAGTCACCAGGTGGCCCACGCTCGCCCCGAAGATTGCTCCATTATCGCCAGGCTAACCTCGTAGCCGATCGCGAGGTGCTGAACTTGGGGCTCGGCTGATCCAAGAGCAGTGAGTGACAGGCAACATCGATAGAGAGAACCCCTATTGCGAGCAAAGTCTTTTGGGTTGTAGGATCACGGCAGTTTGCAAGCGGGATCGCAAGGAACACAAGCGGTTTAATACTAGAAGCATTGGAAATTTGTCTTTTGGTGTGGATTGGTAATCGACTCTATTATCCCTTTTTCTCTCGACTTGTTTTCATGCCTATCCCATGCATCCATGTGTCTGGAGCCATCCCTCCCTCCCTGCTCCATCAGCCACCAAATGCACACCAGATCTTATTCCTGGTCCCATCTTCCACAGCCTGAGTTCACCTTCTAATCTCATCCGGCTTCACCTAAAACTTCTGCTAGATGCTTCTGAAGTGTACGATCCCAAAGATCCTTGTTCTTGTATTTCGACACGTCCTCGGAGAAGCTCCCGACGCTCGTCCTGAGTGCCGCAGCAACCTCCTTATCATTGGTGACCTCGAAAATCGGAGTTACGTAGGTGCGAATTGTAAACAGCAGAGCCCTGGTCTTTGGAAGGCGCTGGAGGGTCTGCCGTTCGACACGGAGGTGAAGGTCCTCCAACTTGGGAGGGTTCTCCAATTGCTCCAGGGTCAGATTGTGGTGCGGATGACGGTGGAACAGTTCTGAAGAGTCGTCAATCGCATAGTTGAAGCGAGACACGGCTGATTCGACCTTGAGTCGCTCGAAGAAGCGATCCATAGACTTGGCCAACTTGCTCTCATACTGGGGGACTTTGCCTGCGTGAATCTCCCAGAGGCTGAGCCCCATTCGTTCCTCAATTTTGAAACCAGCTATTTGGTCTGTTAGCCAAGTTTAAGGGAATGGTACGTACGGTTCTCACCTGGAAAGCATACACCTCCTGCTCTCAATGTCGTCTGGCCTGTCTTGGGATTGTTGGAGAGCAAGAAGAAGTCTTCTGTAGCAAGAAGGCCCATTACCTCAAGAGGATGATGAGTTTTCCATGTCGAGGCCTCTGGCCTTAGGTCCCAGATGTCACCTGTCACGAGGTTCTCCACGATATGAGGGCTCTGCAGCCGGAACATGGTGGGATATCGTCGAACCAGCGTGTCCTTGACCAGCTCCAAAGCCTCGAACAGCCCGCCGTCGCATCCGGGCAAGTAAGCAAGCACTTCATCCCGGTTTTCCTGATAGAGTCGTTTTTTCAAGTGGTACTTTTCGAGATATGTCTCGTCCAGTTCGATCCAATTTTCGACATCAGTCTGTTTCAAGCCTAGATAGCAAAGAGCCATGATTAGCCAAAAACGAAGATGGATATGGATACCTGACAGCTGCCTTACCCATAGTAACATGATAGGGGCCATTTTTCCAAGGTCGATAAGGAAGCTGCTTTTGCGTGCGCCAATCAAAGTTAGGCCTGATCGGCTTGATTCGTGCCACATCGATGAACGTAGGCTCAGGCTTGGTCACTAGAACAATATGCAAGTTAGCAGTCAGTTTCATGGCCAAGGGAGATTTTGAAGCAAAGCCTGCCTTTGTCCTTTACAGCACCTGGCGCATTGCGTTTCTGTTTGCTGGCTGCCAAGATGCAGGCGAGCCATCGACATGCGAATATAGCACAGAGCAGAAAGACTCCAAAGAGAGCCGATGTACGCATATCTCGTGATAATCGCGGCTTGGCCTGCCTGTTGCTTTTCTTCCTTGCCAGAGGACTTGAAACAACAGACAAGCAGATGGCAAAGGTCACGAAGAACAGGTGATGGCGGGAGTGATAAGCAGCAGGGTCAACTCCATCTCCCCGCATATTACCTCAATGGGCGGCACCCTTGGCGGGGGACATGATACGCCGCAGTATCTTGGCGTTGAGAGAACTGTCCAAGTCCTGGAGTTGGTTCATCGGACCGAATTTCCGAATTCATGGACCTCGCGCCGAGAGTCCATCATACATGGCTATGTTCGCGCCGAGCTTGGATCCATCCATATCGGGCAAGGTAGCACCCACTATCTAGAACCTAATCTGAGCGAAGGTTCGGGGTCATGATAGCTTGCTGCGAGGACTGAATGGTGTGGTGACCAATAAGCTCCTAGTCACTAGATCATTGATAAGATTGTCGCAAATCTCGAAATCCGATGGGGGTTGGGTTGAGGGCATCCGGGTGTCTATGTTCTGCAGAGACTTGCGCGTCTAGAAGCAACTGGGCATAAGGGCTGTGAGAAAAGAAATACAGTGACTATTCTAATCAAGTTCAGAAGAGCCATTATCCACCTATTATGATGATAGAGACCTGTAAGTGAGATCATAATTTGCTACTGGAATTGGAATTTAGAGTTGTCATACGTGCATGGCTATGCTCTTTGCCACTGTGACCAATGAGTTCTTCTGAAAATAGCATTTATACCAACAAGACAAAAGTTCTGTCACCAGTAATCCTGGATATTGTTTTCCTTCTGGACTTTGGTTTGATGTCCGTAATTGTCCTTAAACCAAGTTGATTTCTATCTATTGCTACTCCTGATTGGATGGGTACAACACGGAATCAATCGTTGCGAATCCTTCTTTGATTGTCCTTGAAGACACAAATCTCGTCAATAAACCCAAAGAACCGGCCTTGTCGTTGGTGCCACTGGCTCTGGAACCACCAAATGGCTGGTGGCCTGGCATCGCGCCTGTGCACTGGTCGCTATTTCGGTGGTCAGTATGTATGCTGTAGGTAGATATAATGTTGCAAACTCACTTGACATAAAAGTTACCAGCCGCAAATTGAAGCCCTTCAGTGGCTTCAACGATCGCTGGTCGGTCCTTTGCAAAGACAGCACCCGAGAGTGCGTATTCGGTGGTTTCATCGATGAGCTCAAAGAGCTTAGGGCCAAAGTCGCCATCGTCGTATACGTAGAGACACAGGAATGGACCAAAGATCTCTTCGGTCATGAAGCGGGATTTGGGGTCAGATGACTCGACCACTGTTGGCCGAATGTAGTAGCCGGTTGAGTCATCATATGTGCCTCCAGCAAGGACCTTGATGTGTGAAGTGCTCTTGGCGTCCTGGATGTACTTTGAGACGCGATCAAATGCAGACTGGCTAATTACAGGTCCCATAAAGTCTGTAAACTTGTCGCCCATGGTGAGAGCTTCGGTTTCGCGGACAAGGATCTCCTTGAACGCTTCGGCAAGTGATGCGGGCAGGTAGACGCGGGATAAGGCGCTGCACTTCTGTCCCTGGTACTCGAAAGCTGCACGAATAGATTTTAGTGCAGCATTCTTCACATCCGCAGATGGGTGGATGAGATGGAAGTTCTTTCCACCTGTCTCTCCCACGATACGTGGGTATGACCTCCAAAATTTCATCTTGGAGCCGATAGTGGCCGCAAGCTGTCGAAACACGGTCGTGCTGCCTGTGAAATGGAGGCCGCTAAAGTCGCGACTCTGAAAGACCTGAGCCGTCACCTGCTCGGCGTCACCTGGCAGAAACTGGAGGACACCAGCCGGAAGGCCAGCCTCAATCATGATGTGGTTGAACAGCCAACTAGAGTAAATAGCGCCGGGACTTGGCTTCCAGATGACAACATTTCCGGTGATGAGGGGGGCCAAGACAAGGTTCACGGCCAGCGCGGTAAAGTTGAACGGCGAGACAGCATAAACGAAGCCGTCTAGAGGGCGGACTTCACTTCGACTATGGAAGATTGGTCAGTTGAGAGTTCCGGCAGGTGAATGGAATAGGGGTTGATGACATACTTCCACACATCAGGGGCATTGAACGGAGGCTGAGTTTGGTAGAGCTTCTCCGCGAGGGATGGGAACATTGTGAGAAAGTCAATAGACTGTTGTGTTGCAAGTTAGTCCCGAACCCATGCTGCACGAAGAATCCGATCTTCGGGCTCAGTTAACCCATCAAGGGCCGGGCTGCAACTATAACAAAGAACAGATCTGCACGAAGAATCCACATACCTCAGTAGCACAGTCAATGCTAGCCTGATAGGCGTTTTTACCCTGCCCATGCATTGTTGCTGCCATCATACGATACAGGTATGGTCCTCTAAGCAAAGCAGCAGCTCGGTAGAATATGGCAGCACGGTCGTGCAGAGACGTCTTGGACCACGTCTTCTTGGCCTCCAGTGCTCCTTGAATGGCTTTGTCCACGAGCTCGGGAGTAGCGTGGGAATACTTTGCCACGGCGAGCTTGTGCTCAAAGGGGTTCTTCTGGGTGTGCTGTGTTGCACCGTTAACCTATCTTAGATTAGATGTTGTTCCATAATCTCGGCGAAGCAGTGAAAAGATTTAATCTCACATCTTTACCGTTCACGTTAGGGTGGACTTCGAATGGCATCTCTTTCTTCATCGAGGCCATCTCCTCGACGAGCGAGGACCGCTCAGGGGTCCCTGGGCCATAAGCGATCTGGCGAGAGTTAGTGGCATGTCCTCAAACAAGGGTCCCTCCCTGTGGCAAGGAATCAGACGTGAAATGCCACTTACAATGGGCTCATTTCGCAGAGCAGGCAAGGCGAAGGCCCCCAAAACGGCGCTGCTACCTAATGAAACCATTGTGAATAGTCAGAGATAGTGGAACAAAGTATCTGAGATGCTGGCAGTGCAGAAGATGCATATCGGGACCGATATTTATTCCAACAAAAGACATCTTTACCCAACTTGATACCACGCTAGAGATCTTCGGCGCGAGGATAAGTGGGTTAGCATGATGGGTCGGTTCCCCGCCAAATCCGGCTCGGGGTCTACCATCTTCGCGAGGCAGGTTCTTCAGCTTCACTTTCGCCTGTAGCAAGATTGATTCGCACCTCGAGTAAGTAATCGCCGACATAGAAAACGCCGCGACCAACCCGAAGATTCAGAGGGTCGATATGCTCGTTGACCGGGCTTCTCCCTGGAACCTTCGGCCCCTTGTCCGGACCCCGGAGGTCCACAACCGGATTCAGCGCCATGTGGGGCGCTTTAATCTTGGAACGTGCGTGCACTTGAAAATGTAGGGTAATCGAGGGGTCTGGTTGAAGGACTTGTTATTTTTGGATGGAGAGTTGACGTTGTGAGAGGAAGTTGAGGCTTAAGAATTCAGCCGCCTAGCTAGAGCTGTAGTAAGAAGGTAGTGGTCGTATGGCCTTTTTTTCGCGGTTATTAGGGAAGTCAACTATCAAAGAACCGTTCAACCCTCGTCCACCAATGCTTGGAGTCTTGTTATTGGTTTCCGTGATGAATAATCTTATGCTTAACAATAATTGAATAATAGCCAGGTAGGTTGTAAATTCAAACATGACTCATTGTGATACATAAAGTCGAAGCGGCCCCTTTAGTATTGTCTATTGAGCCTCCATGTGGTTCCCCTCACGTTTATACGCCACCCCAGCACGTACATGTTCATTGTGCGCTTCATCCATTCCGCCCATATTTACTAAGCAGTTCAAATTCTAGCTGGCTTCAAATACTGTCTTGATATTGACTCGACCATAAGTCCGTATATCGTAGTTATTGATTACGCTGGGGAGATTCTGACCAGACTTGTTGCTCATCGTCTTGGGCCATCGTCGCATGGCGCACTGCGATAGCCTTTGGATGTTGCGGCGTGGGAATCATCTGCAACTTGACCATCGTGTCAAATGTAGGTGACGTAGAAGCTTGGGAAAGAGGGTTGGAATTTGGTTTCGAGTGGTAGAGAACCATATCTAGCCTTGCAAGCGAATCATGGCGAATATGTTTCGGGGATGGCATTTTCTCGTTCGAGATGATTCCGTGTTGGCCAATCACCAAACCTGTGGGCTACTTTCCTTGGATCGACATAGGAAAAATGCTTGATATTATGCTGGAAACTTCATTACAGCTGTGGGCGAGCTACCATGGTACGTTTTCACCTTCAGGCCTCACACTCCCCATGATTTGCCCATCTCGTCCAGTTGACCACCCGGTGACATACACTCTTATCACGCATCAATTATCCGGCAACCTTGCCTAACCGAAGCGAGATATGGACATGATCGCCAGGCGCGGCAGATGAAGCACTTTGACCTAGACGAGGGAATTACCGGAACGTAACATCCAGGAGCGGTCAATCATTAATCACAGACTTGGCGCAACCCTGGGGCGTCTCGCACGACCATGAATAAGTCCGTTCTGGACCTTCGTGCTTGAGCGGAAAGCTAGGATTGGTCCGAACCCTGACCGTGTGAGTGGAACCACGTGCGTTGTAGCTCGGCTTTAATACGGCCACCAACGCTAGTTCAACGACACCAACCGTACACATGATCGAACTTAGTACATGAAGGAAGCTATATCTCGAATTTTCGCTTGTCTCGTTTTTTTCTGTTCTTTGCGGCTTTTTGTTCTTCTTTGTTTGTACTCGTGGGATTTTCTTTTGCTCTTCACGCTGTAAATCAGCATGAAAGTCGCCGACATGTTGTGTGGCAAGGGCCACGAGAACGACACCGAATACCAGCCACTTCGGGCATCGAGTCCAGAACCATGGCAGGCAGAAGATGAATCAACAAGGCGAAAACCTCGTTGCGCGGGCGTTCGCAAAGTGTGGAAGAATTTGGGGTGGACAGTCGTAATAGTCACGGGGTTGGTCGGGTAAGTCTGGTGTTGTCCCTCACTAACACGGCGCCTGACATCGTCTGTAGCGTGACTTTTTCTCTCGTGGTGTTTGGAATCGAGCGCTACTTTGTTCATGCATACGAGTCTTCCGGTCTTTCGCTGGCCGATCCTTTCGAAGATACCGAAAATTCGACTGAAAGCGCCACACGATGGGTTAAGCGATTGTCCCCCCACGTCTCACCCGCCATGGTCCACTCCCATAACGACTACTTGCGACCTCGTCCATTGTTCTCAGCTCTATCAGTGGGTTGTGTGAGCGTCGAAGCAGATGTATGGCGCAGCAAAGATGGAAACGAGCTCTTGGTCGGGCACCACTGGTGGGACTTGACACCAAAGAAGACGCTCCGTTCTCTTTACATCGACCCGCTCTTGCAGGTCCTGGACATGATAAACGCTGAGCGCTCACGAGTCATCCCGGGCTCTGATAAGCACCCTGCTGGTGTCTTTGCAAACTATCCGAATAGGACACTGATCCTGTTCATTGATGTCAAGGACGACCCTGTAACGACTTGGCCATTGGTTCTTGAGCAGCTGCAGCCTCTCCGAGAGCGAAACTACTTGTCCCGACACGACAAGATTTTCTCACCAGTCGCGAATCAGACTTTCCAGTATGGTCCTATTACTGTCGTCGGTACTGGAAACATCGCCAAGCGTCGTGACGTGAACGTCGGCGCGGACCCGGAGAGGTGGCGCCAGTACCATGACGTCTTTCTCGACGCATCTCTTGATTTGCTGAGTCGTCCTGGGTATTGTGAAAGGAACGACACATATTGCTTGGATGTCCAAGAAAACGAATTCTACACCGCCTCAGTGTCTCTTTGGAGGGCTATCGGAACCCTCATGTTCGGTTTCAGCACCTCCCAGCTGAAGACCGTGCGAAGCCAGATCCAGACTGCCAAGAGGCTGAACCTCAAATCGCGATACTGGGAGCTACCTGGCTGGCCAATCTCCTACCGCAACCATGTCTGGAAGATCCTCGCCCGGGAAGGGATTGACCTACTGAACGCCGATGACATCGTCAGCGCGGCGACGAGACATTGGAGTTCGAATGCTGTCAGCGAGACTGTCTGGATGTGTGGTGTTGGCTCATTTCTGGCTGGATTTTCCATTACTCTGATTTTGCTTGGTAGGAGAATGATTTGGCGCGAGTTGTCTTTGAGATAGACGGAGCTTTTTACCCTTTTTGATATACCCCTAGAATAGCAGCTACGCGTTAAAGATACCATGTTTATCCTCTGAAATCGCTTCATAACAGGCACACAAGCAGCTTGGGTGATTTGAACAGCACAGCATCTTGAGCCGTGCTATTTGCCCACTAGGGAATGACCTCGCAGTAAAGCTGCTACTCCAAAGAACAGATTTTCCTTTGTGTGTGTATTGTCTATAAAAGACCTTTTTCTTCCCACCAACTAGCTAAAAACAAAGAGCTCCCATCACTCCAGATTCATCCTGTATGTGACGCTTGGCAGCTTCCACCCTACAGACCCTGACAACTCCCAACAGATTCTTCGCATATCGGAAAGATGGCACGAGAATTCAGAACTATTTGCCTCTCATCTTCAAAAACCCGGAACAAATTTCGTGATGGCTCCCCAGATTCCCCGCTTCCAAGTTGATTCACGCGGCGCTACAGAACGGGCACGAGGCTTCGCTCTGACAGTACCTCCAGTAGGTTCCCTAGGAAAAGATCCAGGGATCGGTTCATAAGACGAAATTACTTTCATCGGAGCCGAAGGTCCCTCTCCAAGATGTGCGTTGCGCTGTTCACCATTCCGAGTCTGGTTTCTTCCCCGACGGCGATGGAAGTGAGCGCCCCCTGACACATTACAGGAGCGTTCTCGATATGTAGACTCGGCGGCCCTCTCCTGAATGTTGACAATGTTTCGGAGATCGTCTCCGAAGTGAGGTAGGCCGTATAGGCTCTCGATTAGCTGTGCCACACCCGAGTCGTCGAGCAGTTTGGACTCGTCGCCTTGCTTCATGGCCTTTTCCAGTACTTCCACCCGTTGGAGGTACTCAGCTTTCTCCTTCTCAAGTTTGCCACGGCGTTGGTTCGATCCGCCGGCCTTCATCTTCTGCCTCTCCTGGTCGATGAGCATGTCGATGTACTCGATGGTGGCGTCGTTGTAGGGCGTTATGGCGTGCCTCTTGAGGAAGAAGCCAAACTGGATGGCCGCTTCTTGGACTTGTCGGTGTTCAAGCTTGAACTCCTCAATGGCCTCCTTCTTCATCCGGATTGCTTCCTCTCTGAGCTGGATATTATCGGCATTCTTGATGAGATCTCTGTCTGTGGCCGCATCTCGGTGTTGATAAGTCGTCGGTACATACTTGTAGTAGATGTGCATGTGGTCCATCCAACTGTGACCACATTTGTTGCACTTGCCGGCAAAACCCATTGAGCTGCATCCTTGCAACTCATGGTGACCCTTCTTGTTGCGATCGACGCTCGTCAGGTAGCAGCCTTTGTGGCAAACCGTCTTGTAGATGGTTGTTGCAGTCTCCGTTTTGCCTTCGAAGTCGGTGCGAATCTCGACACAATCGTCGTGTGTACAGACTGTTTGCGGTCTGTCCACTTCTTCCGAAGTTAGGGTCTCCTTTTGGACGAATAGGCGCTGCTGAAGTTCTTGTCGGGTGAGTTGGAAATTCCGAAGCTCCTGGATGGCATCATTGTTCACGTCGATGCTCGCTCTGATCTTCTCAGCAATGAAGGTCATTGGCTCTGTGAGTCGGTGGATAGTGTTTCGAGTCTCGTTGAGGTTGATGGTACTGCGCACTTGATGAGGAGTGATGCCTTGGCAGTGCTTAACGAGCCGCTCGCACTCCCCAACCGAATACTCCCAGCTGCGACGGTTGTCTTCCAAGTGACCAATGTCAATGCCCTTCTTTTTGGCGGCAAGGTATCGGAAGCTTTCTGAGTCAAAGCAGTACACGTTGTTCTCGAATAAACCCATCTTGACATCTTCGTACTCGGAGAGAAGAGCGTTCAAGGGCTTGAAGGTATCGCCAGGCTTGTAGTTGGATCCGCGGGTGTTTGTGAATCCAAAAACAATGTTGTTGGCAGCGTTGCGATGGAGGTGTGTCAACAGCTGTTTGATGCAGAACCGGAACATGACAGTCAAACGAGCGGCATTTGGTTTCAGGAGGATGAGAACTCCGTGAAGGTTGTTGTAAGTCCGCAAGACGGTCAAGATGTCGTTCATGTTGGAGTTGTCCTGATCAACGCCACGGGTGTCTCCAATCCCAGGGGTATCGATAAGACGAACTCGTGTCTTGCCGATGTTGACAGTATACACCTCGGTCGATTGCGTGGCCGACTGGCCTCCAGAACCATCCTTTTCTGACTGACTGGAGCCAATCTTGATTTCCGTTTCGACAAATCTGCCGTCAACGGCTGTTTGTGTCTGAAATGAGCAAGGAATCACACATTTGAGGTCCTCGGCGTTCAATGCGTCGTCGATTGATTCGTATGAGAGGTAGTTGATGAATGCATTGATCCATGTCGACTTCCCAACTCCAGTCTCGCCCAGGATCAAGATATTGAGATCCTCGAACGGCTCGAGCGCCTTAAGCTTTCGGAGAAGCTCAGAACGGCTATACCTTTCCCAGTCTGAGCCATGTTTCGGGTCGTTGCACTGAAACTCCCACTTGTGGTAGGGGCTCGCTCCACACTCACAGTAGAGCATTTCATCGACAACACCGTACTCGACTGCCGAGTGGCAAGAACCACAGATCCAGCTGCATTGCAGTTTTTGGTCGCAGCCTTGACGTGGGCAGGGAATCTTGACGGCTCTTCTGTCGAGGGGTTTGCCGTTCACGGTAGGAGTAAGCGCGTCTTCGGCAACGCGCATCACACAGTTGGCGGCTAAGACCTTGCGGTTCTCTACAAGGTCCTCACTGATGACTCGCCCTCGTCGCAAGTGCGAGATGTAGGGTTTCTCCAGGAAAGTACCATGAGAGTCGTGGTCAACCGCGTCCTGATCGACAGCGATAGCGACTTTGTGATGAGAGTGATCTTCAAGAATTTCGAGGAATGCTGCGAGATTCTCCTCCCACACGTCGGAATGATGACGGACATGGTCGTTGAAGTAAAAGACAACCGCGTCGTCATACGGATTACCGTGCAACAAGGCGGATACCGAAGGGCTATTGTAGCCGACAAGGTGTGCTCCCTCACGCATGAGAAGATCTTGAAAATCCATCTTCTCTTCGTATGCCATGGCGGAAATAATGCCATGAGGCGAGCTATGTCCAATAAATTCTGTGAGCCGAGCCCAAAGCTGCCGCTCAGTCGCCTTGCCACTTCGAACGGCCTTCACGAGGCTTGCGAAGTTAGTTTCTGGTATGGCCTCCAGACTCTTGATCCTAGCGAGAAGTTGCGCGATGGAGTCGATATGTTCAGGCGGAACACAAGCTTGATGAGTCTGTAGTCGGGCGAAATAGTCGCGGAGTCGTTGGCGCGCGTCCCGGATATCGTCAAATAGCTGCACACATCTTTGGGAGCAGTCAGCGCCCAGCTGACGGTAGGTCATGTCGACCTTGATGTCAAGTAATCCAAACGCGGCGATCAGAGAGAGTGGCATTAGGGTGTAGGCCACCGGTTGGCCCTTTCCGTCACCAGCTCTGGCTATATCGCCGGGTATGTTCTCGATGAAGTCCTGGGCTGCGGCAAAGTTGGTCGGGAAGGGAACTTTGGTGAGGTCGTCTCCGAAGATGGTCAGTTCGACAGAGGCTTCAGGATGGGTATAGGTCGCATCTTCTACTCGTGACAGTCCTGCTGTCTTGAGCAAAGACATCTGCGCCTCTAGATTCCTAGAAATCTGGCTTCTGTCTTCGGAGGGATCAAGCTGTTGCTTGGCGGTGAGCACGTAGCGGGCACCCCAGTGAATACCAGTGACGATGTGAGTAGCGGCATCGGTGTCCAAACGGTTGCGTGCGATGCATCCTTTGACGCCAGTGGCAGTAAGGTTGAGTTTCTCTTCTACAGTGATGAAATCGTAGCGTAGAGAAGACTGCACAACATGGTTTGTGTCGCGCTTGTCGAACAAGTAGAGCCCCGAACCGTCGACCTTGACAAGTCCAGCTAGGACGCTGACGGCCAGCTCGCCGTCGATGCCGCATGCAGCGAACTTCTCTGCGAAGGTGTCCCCGTTGACGACTTTGGCGTCGGCCGATTGGTGCTGGGTGATCTTCACGGCATCGGGAGGAAGAGGTTCATCGAATAGGGACGATGGGAGGAAGGTGTCGCTGCGAGCATCATAGAGACTTCCCAGGGCCGAAACTTGTCCGAGACCGAGAGCAGGGCGATTGAGGGCAGGAGACGCCATTTTGTCGATGAGATGTAGAAGTCCTGTAGAGGAGATGTAGAAGTTGGGTTGAGGGGATGTAGAAGAAGTGGATGATCAAGCATAAAGATATGCAGATGATGAATGAGCACAGATGCGACAAGTGAAGATAAACGATGGGGGTGAATACAGACTAGGAGAACTTAAGCATGCAACACAGAGAAATCGCGGTAAATGGTGTGACGGAAGACAAACAACGAGATTGAAGATATGTGAAAAATGGAAGAAGGTAAAGTAATTTCAGGCAGCTCGACCAACTCAACTGACCTTAATATGAAGGTGACAATTCCCAAGTTTGAAGCCAGGGTCTTACGCGACCCTCCTTTAGAGATGTCGATGGCCGTCATTCCTATTTTGCAAGCGAGGTAAAACTCTAAAACACAGCCACGGGATGCAGTTTCACCTGATGGCCAACACCAAAAGACCTACAGTTTGCTAAGTATAGTATTCATTGACTTTGAGTTGTTGGTTTGACATGCACAAATATGCATGTTGGTTGCTAGCTTCCTACACCTGAAACGTTGCGGGCGGGAAGCAGCTTACCAAACGGGTCTAGTTCCCACGTTGTGAAGCATCTGTATCATTTTTCGTCCCAAAAAGGGGATCTGTTATCTGTTGTGGCAGTGCAAACATCCCGGCTTCCTGTGGTGACTCCGTGTGTTTCAATCTTTAACAACGGAATCACGGCAACATGCTGCTGCTCCCCGCCTCGTGTCGAGTGGACACACTAGAACATAACAAAGTGCGTTACTACTACGATTCAAGTTTCCCGCGCCAGTGTCAAGCTCATCCAACATGTCACATCCTCCACCAAGTGTGGCCCGCCAAGGGATGGTGGTGGCGAGCACGGGAGCAATTAGCAATTCACAATACCATCTGTCATTGAATCTGCAGAGTAAAGAATAGTGAACGGAAAGCAACCTCGAGAACGCAATCTCGGTATTGCATTTCTAAAGGCAGAAGTTCTACAACCACATTGAACGTGCATGCAGTCAAGCCGTTGACTGGGCTTGGGCCGGCGGCGGCGGTGACGTTATGGGTCGCGCCGACTTTCCCTTTTGGTCCCAGTGGCTTGATTAAGCCAGGCCTGATTGGGCAAATCAACCGCGGAAACTAAGCCAAACTCGTGACAACCGTTCAAACGATAAGGATTAAGCTTTGAGTGCTAATGCGACGTATTGTCATATGATGACTAGTATCAAGACACGAGACGACGTATTCGAGGAGAAAAAGAAAGTGTTTCATCCCCTCTCGAAAAAGAAAAGGCAGCATCCCAAGCTACAAGACTTGCCCCCTACCCCTAGCCTTTGATATGATGACGACATGCGCGTGTCCCTTGCCCATGAACCCAAACCAAAATATGCCCCCCCGGTGCAATGATTGATGAAAGATCACCATCTACATCAAACAAATATCTCGATATCGTGGTTCAACTTGTATTTCAGTCAGCCCGGTGTGATTCGAATAGCGTCTATAACAGTGCAAGAAGATGTGCTTACCTTTATCAACCCAGTGCGGCCACGGGAGGCCTGGTTCGAGATCCCGAATTTCCCAAATACGATGGAGGGCGCCGATAACGTCTCCACGGTTATACGATACTCCTCGAGGCTCCCGAAGTCTCTGTTTGACTACATCCCTTACTTGGGGCTCAACGGCTTCGCATCCGGCGATAAAGAGTGGGAATACTATGGCATAAGAGACATGCGATGTGGGCTGGATCTTGGAGATCTCGTCCACAACGATGCGTGTCTGGCGACGGATGAATGGCGCTGTGAAAGCGAGACCATGGATGCGAGCGTAGAGCAGGATGGAACTTGCCGCGTACATAGACTCATTCAGTGCGACCACAGCCACTGGATCTGCACCATCGAGTGCCGACTCTGAAACGTTTGCATCTCGCTCACGAGCTTGGAGGAGGATTTCTTCTGCCTCAACCACTCTGCTCTCCCAAGTTGGAGGGGGCTCATGATCAGCTCCTGCATCGAGTTGGGAAAGCTGACTTTGCAACAGCCGGCCGATTCTCAACAAGGGATTGACAAGTCGAGGTGAAAATGTGTAAATGGGGTGGCTGACCCAGCTTTGAAATGCGTTGGAATACTTTTGTTCGATTTCATCGTCTCCCATCTCAATCATGTGGCAGATCCGGTCGCCCAGAGCAGGATTGGGCTTCTGCAAGGAACAGAGAGTAGATATGACAGTCCAGCGGTATTCCGTCAGCGTTATCTCGGGATATGACTTGGATGCGTTTGTCTCTGGTTTCCATCTTGCCAAAAACTCGATGACAAGCTGTGACGCTATCCGGAGATAATCGCGACGCTCAGGCCCAAAAGAGTAGAGTAAGGTAGCCGCATAAACGATGGAAAGCAAATTACTCTCATCGCGTGTCGTGCTCGACAGTTGGAGTTCCATGGACCGAACCGCCTCAGAACATGTGACACTCTTCGTGACGATGAAATCTTCCCGCTCGAAGCGCAGCTGGTATTGGGCGGCACTGAAGCAAAGAATGGCTCCACGTAGGGCGGCATTGGAAAGCGCCATATGAGGGAGGTTGGTGACGTACGGGTGCTGATACGCGTATAAGTGACCAACATCCTCCCAGTCGAGGCACAGGAAGTCGGTCTCGGCTGCGGAAAGGAAATATTGCCAGAGGAAGCGCCTCTCGGGCGATGCAAGCATGTCGTCTGGCCAAGGCATCGGGCAATATAGTTGGCTTGGTGAAACCTCCAGTGGGAAAAACTCGGGGATGGCTACCGCCATTCCATTCGGGGTAATATTTCCTTCATTACTGGTATCCTTGGCCGAATCATGCAACTCTGATAGGAATGCCGTTATGCTAATGGAGTTATCGTACCAGGCGTCTGGAATATGGCCGAGACCTGGAGGGCTTGAGGTATGGTTGGTTGCCTGTGATGGATGTCCAAGAGTGAAGTAAGAGTAAGCACTTGGACGAATAGGCGTTTCGCATAGATCATGACCCGCTTCTGTGAGATCCTTTTGATGACCGTCCGGGGTAGGTACAGGAGTGTCAAGAGTGGATAGAGGGGTCCGCTGCGCATGCGACAATTCCGTTTCCCCATCTCTATTGGGCTCCGATGCGAGTGACGATCCCAAGAGCCCTTCAGTCCATCGTGCCGTATTGAAAGCGGACGGCGTGAAGGACCTGAATGTCTTGGGCTCACAAATCTGGCCTCTCTTAAGGCATTGGGAGCATCGAGGATGCTTATGATCGCACTGTCCATAGAGATGTCATAATCGGAAGTTCCAGTAGACGATGTGGTAATCTCACCTTGCGCTTTCTTTGGGAGCATTGTAGGCATGCGCCCATGCGTCTGTTGTATGGAGCGCTCATTTGGGATGCGGGGGGGGAGGGAGATTCAGTAACAGGCTGCGGATAGGATGGATACGACGGAGTGGAAAAGAGGTCGGATAAATCGAAAAAGCACCACGTGATGGAGTGTACTGACAGGGTTGATGGTTGGTCAAGGACTTGAGGTGACGCTCTGCCTTTGTTGCCATCTCCCCAGGGTTATGCGAGACTAGCACGCTGCCATCTGGATCCTGTACGATGGAGCCAATCAGACTGGCATTCTATGAATGCGATAAGGGACTAGATAAATTAAGGTCGGGGGGCCATCCCCTTGGATTTGCACAGGTCTGTGCGCCTAATTCTCTCTTGAGCTTAGCCACTCCTACATACGGGGTAACTAAGAAGAATGAACATCAACAACACCCGTAATCGGCCCCTGGCCACTGTGTCAACATCAGGTCATGATGTTATGGTGTGTTGACAATCTGTTATTTATTATAGTTGCAGCCCGGCCCTTGATAGGAACTGAGCCGGAAGATCGTAATCGGCCTTGAAGTTTTCAATAAATGACCAAGAATACACCTTGAATTCCACCTAGGAGATCAGCACTACCAGTGACATAAATTTTGCTAGCTTCCATCAACCTCACTACATTAGACGGTCAGAGTATGATTCTGGCTTGCAGTCTACACAAACTCCTTGATGGCGTCGGTGTGATACTGAGTAACTCTGGCAAAGCTTCTATGTAGCGGCCTCCATTCATCCCATCTAATATATCATTCCCAAAAGCGCTCCGTATTAGGCCGATTACCTGCCATCAGGGCGCCCAGGTATAGGATATCAACCAGCAGTCCTCAACGAGACAGGTTTTTTAGCCAAAGCTGTTGACGCTGCCAGTAGTAGAAAATGGGCCAAGAATGGTCTGGCCCGAACGACGGTTCACATGTGCTACATCCGCGCGGGGTTCTCCCTTGCAAGCAGCCGCTCTACCAATAGATGGACTTAGTGGCACCTAGCAAAGAATTTCAGCTTTCTTCTTCCAGCACAGCCACATACCTCAATGGGACAAGGTCCACAACCACGTCTCGGGCTGTCGCAAGCGCTTGATGCTACGAGAGGCTCCTATGCTCTTGGCTACATACTCGAATCAAGCAAGATGTCTATCAATCGAGTCTTAAGTACAGAATGGCCCAAGAATATCCCATACCTTCAAGAGGGGAAGAGAAACATGTAACTCGCCACACCAAGCCATACTCAAAACTTTGGTATGTTGTGGTCTCCGAACTCCCTGACGACAGACCTGTGAAAGCCGGTGGTTGAAATATTTAAAGGTGAAGCACGCCTTCCACCTTATACAGAATCACACCATTCTCTTTCCGATCATCCAACACGTCTACTACTCAAAAAGCCCCGATAAACATAATCCGCAGCCATGAGCCCCGAAGCCCCTCCCTCTACCGGCTCCAAGCCTGAGAAGCTTATCGAGACAGAAGTCTTGATCGTTGGGTCGGGCCCAATTGGTGCTGTTTTCGCTCGTACACTTGTCGACAATGGAAAAAAGGTCCTGATGATTGATGTCGGAGAGCAGTATGTGACGCCTGTATTCACAAAGAGAACGAACTTTGACTGATTTGTCACTCAGGGAGACGAGGCGCGTGGGTGACCACAAGAAGAACAGCATGGCTGTCCAGAAGGACATCAGTCTGTTTACCAAGTGTGTTCACAAAAGCCAAACCCTGAACGTCTTTCACTAACAGAGTACAACAGCACCGTCAAGGGAGAATTGAACCTCCTCTCAGTCCCGACAAACACCACGGATATTCTCCTGGACCCAGGATCGTGGGCTCCCAAGTATGATACATCCCTCACCCCACTTAAAGCCGCCGGTGTGACTGACATATCCTCCAGGGTGGAGCAGTTCGCGTTCATCAAGAATGGCCAGAACCCGGAACAGATTCCCTCTGAGAACCTACCAGCAGCGGCTGCAACTCGTGTCGTCGGTGGCATGGGCTCTCACTGGACCTGTTGTACTCCACGCCAACATCCCATGGAGAGATCCACTCTGTTCGACGACAACAAGTGGAAGAGCCTGTACGACAGGGCAGAGAAGTTATTTGACACAAACGAAAAGACCTTTGAGAAGTCCATTCGTCAGCAACTTGTCAAGAGGACTCTCGAGCAGGCTTTCCCGGACCGTGGGATGAAGAGCATGCCTCTGGCTTGTAAAAGGAACCAACAGAACAAGCATTACGTCGAGTGGTCTGCGACTGCCACAATCCTGGGAGATCTCTCAGAGCCCAAGAAGCCGAACGACCTGTTCGAGATCAAGCCCAACACTCAGTGCCTTGCTCTTGCTATTGGGCCAGATAACCAAGTTGAGATGGCCAAGGTGAAGGACATTCTGAAAGATGAAATCTACTACATCAAGGCCAAGAAGTACGTCATCTGTGCTGGTGCCGTGCTCACACCTGGCATTCTTTGTAACCCCCCTGAGAAAGGAGGCCTTGCACTGGGTCGCTCGCTACCAGCCCTGGTAAGTTCAGCATCAAAACAGGCGAAGACTGCAGCACAGCGCCCACTGACATGAATGTGACAACTAGGGTCGTTACATGACTGAGCAGCCCATGGCATTCTGTCAAATTGTTCTCGACAGAAACCTTGTGGACACTGTCAAGGATGATCCCTATAACCTTGGTTGGGACGGATACGTCCAGCTTCACGAGAAAAAGCACCCCAAGGACCCACTTCCCTTCCCATTCAGCGACCCTGATCCCCAGTGCTATTTCCCGTTCTCCGAGAAGTACCCCTGGCACACGCAGATTCATCGTGACGCCTTTGGCTATGGGCAAGTCCCTCCTACTGTCGACCAGCGTCTCATTGTCGACTTGCGCTGGTTCACATACGTGGAGCCAAACGAGGACAACTATGTCAAGTTCTCCGAGACTTACCAAGACCAGTTCAAGATGCCACAGGTACGTGCGGCTCCAGTCAAACGATAAAGACCCGTCTGACATTGCAACAGCCCATCTTCAAGTTCTCCATGAGTGGCGCTGCCCGTGACCGCACCAAGGCGATGATTGACGAGTAAGCCCTATAACTTTGCCTCATCATGTCGCTGAAATTAATACTGACTTCCCCTAGTATGGTTGATGTTGCAAGGAAGCTCGGAGGCTTCCTCCCTGGAGCCGAGCCAAAGTATCTCGCTCCAGGCTCCGCCCTCCACATTTGCGGCACCTACCGTGCTGGTGAGGATAAGAAGGACAGCGTAGTTGACAAGTTCGGAAAGGTCTGGGGCCAGGAAAAGCTTGTCCTTGGCGGCTGTGGCGTTATTCCCACCGGGAATGCCTGTAACCCAACCCTCACGGCTGCTTGTTTTGCTCTTGTCGCTGCGGACAAGATCGTGGAAGAGCTTCGATAAAGGATCCCTCGAAGAACTTGCCCGAGTATACGATTGAGGGCCCACTCCTACATCATCTACTTTTCTTCTTCAGTCTGAGGGCTGACTCCGTAGTAATTATATTTTAGTATTCTTGAAACGTTTGCAACATAAGTGATCTGATAAGGCAGTTTTCTCCTCGTCACTCGTGAAAAGGAGGCCTTCATACACTTGTCATACGCTAGGACTCTCTCGGTCACCTGTAAAAAGTCTTGACTAGGCCCCGTGCCTTCTATGTGAGCGCAGGTGATAACCCTAGTTCTATTATTATCATAGCCTGCAACACATCAAAAGCAAAAGCAATCAGCCACGACAGCAAAAGAACACAGACATCAATGTGACGACGCTAGTCTGAGCGTGTAGGAGCCTACCGTGAACTGCTGAATCTCACTTACCTCTCGAGTTACCGAAAGAAATCCAAGCCTGAGCTGTTGTGGTGTTGGCTCTTCGCGGTAGAAGTATGATAATATGATAGTTTTACGGTGTATAAAGACTCTCCCAAGACCTTTAGGCTCTTTAGACCCTGTTTGGATGGAAGTGTGGAAGTTAAAACCATAACCTAATTAGTTTAACTTCTATAGAAATAGCCAGAAAGAATTAGATGAAAAGGTACATCTTCTGTACAAGATGATATCCTTCCTTATTCTCAGAGGTATGAAATGCCTGTGTTGCTCTTCTAGGATCTATCTTGACGAAGTCAAGCGGGTAGATAAAGTTAGTCGCTTGCAGGAAAAGAACACGTTACATGGCTCACGATGAGTTCGAACATGAGGGGACTCATACCTACCTGCATGATAAAAAGTTAAACCCTTCAGGAGGTGCACGGTAATTTAGGCAGCTTAAATGCAGAATCTCGGCGAGTTGCCAAACTATATTTAGCGTACACATCAACTTTTAACACAATAGAGACATGAAAATAGGTCACTGTGTTGGAATTGGAAATATGTCATTTATCATAGTTGAAGCTGGGATAACCGAGCTAGAGGATCGAAGACATGAACGAGATACCTATGTTGGGCTGCCGTGATATTTCTGTAGACCAGATATCAATCTCGGTATGGGGAAGGAATAACAAGAAGAAACTAAAAAGAAACCATACGTCATTGAAACCTAGCCGTAAAACTTGTTGACCATTGCTACTGGTGAGTTCTTGGCCTGCGGAGGGGAGTCGCTCGTTTGGTTTGCAACCAAACCTTATCACAGAAGTTCCTTATGACCTAGAATGAAGGCTATAAATAATAGATGCCCATCCCAGGGTGGTGAAGTCCAATCTCATCCAGTCTCACTTTTCACGTCTCTTTATCGCGCAAAGCTCGACAGCGACAAACCACAGCATCTCCCCTACAATCGATAATCCCTTTCTTCCTATTACTCTCATCCCTCACAATGGCTACCTCGTTTCACCAGTTTGGCGACTTGCCCTGGGAGCTCAGGGACCAGATCTGGAACCTGGCTGTCCGACCGGCCTGTCCGGGCATACAGATATTCAAGCTCTATAATCGCGAAGATACTGGGGCTTTGGAGAAAATGAGGATTATGGTTCTCGATGAAGACTATGCCGACGCTCACCACGACCACCAGCTTATTATTCCAGGTTCCGACGAAAGCAATATCTCGACATATCTTATCGACGGGGGATTATGGACTGCTTGTAAAGAGTCAAGACGCGTTATGGAGCGCAGATTTACACCCAACAGAAAGCCTGAAAATATCTAGCTATATATAATCCTCTACTAAGCATAGCATCGCTACTACTATCCTCCGGGCTACTTAGAGCGACCTTATAGTCGGTAATATAAAAGACTTAGGACATATGCAAGGATGTTTAGCATACAAGCGTAAAAAAGTTTCACTAGAAGATATATAAGTTAGGTATATTATATACTGATTCTTCAGTACTATATGCGTACCAACGCCCGTTAAGAGTGAGAGTTATCAGCACAAGAGAAAGCGCCATGACCCCCAGACGCCCCATATGCTTCCTTGATACTCAAGACAGAACCATACGTGCCTCCCACCAAGATAATAGTGCCGATAATGATGACAAAAATACTCCAACACACCTGGAGCATCCACCATGGGGATCGGGCCTGTTTTCCAGCACTCCAATTATCGTACAGCCACATGCAACCCATCGGCTGAACACAGAGAAGCGTGCCAAAAAAGGCGCCAATCAGGGCCGCGAGGCTTCCGAAAGAAGGAACGGCACTCGCGATGATGTACGACACGGAGGCGCATCCAAAGGTGCAGGAAAACCAAGTCGTCCAGTGCCTAAGTGTGCCCTTGTTGAGGTGCTCAGTACCCTTTAGAAGACGGAGGAAGATGTATTTGCTAGCAAACTGCTCGATCTATTAGCCAACTGTACTAGTTGTGTCGGGGGTCCTGGATTTCGTTCTCAGGAGTCTAGTAAGAGACCTGGGGTGGGGGATGGGGAGAAAGGCCATAACATGATGTTAGTAAGTCATTCGTCGAATACGTACATGAATGGTCAGAACTGTAGTTACGATCAAGCCTGGAAGGCTTAACCCGTAGCAGATCTTTTTCATTAGCTTGCCCGCAGAGCCGAGGGCTGGCGAAGAGACATAAGATCCGCAAAAATAATACACGATGCATCCGATGGCGATATAAACTATAGAGACGACAGTATGGCAGAGGATGAGGGACCGTGTATAGAGCCGGGGGTTCCGCATCTCGGCTGCGATCGGGAAGAATCCAGGGATAGCGCTATAGGCCATGAGGAATGTCGAGATGGCATTCATAGCCCCAGTGAAGGTTGGTCGGTTAACGAGTTGATAATCAGAGACCCAGTCACCACCTTGAGGTGCCGCATCGGGGCGGTCCTGGACGCCGACGCTGATGGCCACGGTAAAGACTGGGCACAACGTTACAGGAAGTTCTTGAGAGAGGAGGAGATTTTGGTACGATTGTTAACACTTACTTGCTGCCAGAAGAAAGACCAATCCAACCCATGCAAACCAGGTGAGGCGACCAAGGGTACGGACACTGGCAATCGAAAAGCCCAAAAAGGCGGCCACGCCAACAAAAGCGGCCGTACACGCGCCGTGAGACGTAATGGCGTTGAAGCCGATAGAGATACCTAGCATTCCCGACCCGGCGCCGAACACCCAGACTGTACAAGATTAGAAGACATTCCTAGATCAGTTGTGGTTCAACCTACAGAGACAAAAGATAAAGCCAAATGCTTCGCGTGCGACACGGCCGAACATGAGCTGGACAGCATCGTCGATGCCATAGACCTCGCGGTGGCGCAGCTTAAAGACGCCAACCACCCAGGCAGTCCAGGTCACAATACCGCCGACGAGGGACAGGAGGAGAACCCCTGGGATAAGTCCTACGTCGTCAAAGGCAGCCGGAAGAGCGAGGACACCGAGGCCGATCTGGATCTTCATCATGAGAACGGAGGATCCAATCCACCCAACCTAGACGGGATATTAGTTTGGCAAATGTCAGACTGCTCCCATGAGAGGCTCACATTGCGATAGTCAGGGCCGTCTTCCCTGATGTCGCCAAAGACGGCGTCATGGACAACGTCGTTGCTGTCGTGGACTTCGCCGACCTGCGAGGGCATGGTTGAGAGACCCTCTGGATCAGCTTTCTTCTCATTCAGGTAGGACATGTTAAAGATGGTGCGTAGTATGGAGTAGTCAGATGGGGAAAGGTAGAGAACTTGTCAAATGCATGAGATATTCCAATCTATTTCAACAAAACGGCCTTGCGATGGTCATGGTTCCTACTGCAGTGACTCCTGATGAGCCAAAGCCTGGGTAAACAGTGTGTGTGGAGAAGTTCATGGTGCGTCTGCCTCATGGCTTATCGCGGGGAGCATGATCCAGCCGTGGCCGCCAAGGAATCTAGTTCCTGGGGAAGGCTAATCAGTTGGATAAGGCCCCGGACCTGCTCACAACGAGTAAACGTTGGTCTCTGCATAGAGATAGCTAAATCAGATGGCTCAGAGCTAGCCACATTAGGTTAGAGAACGGGAGTCAACACTTCTGAGGCTTGAATAAGCCAATTGAAGGGTAGAACAACGACAGATCTGGGGGGCCTGTCGTTCTGGGGAGATTTGTCGAGTCGATACGGTTGATAAGAGAAGGGGCGATAGCGTGTGGCATTTGGCGCATGGCGTATGGAGGAGGGCAGAGGGCGCATGGCGCGTGGCGCGTGGCGCGTGGCGCGTGGCGCGTGGCGCGTGGCGCGTGGCGTAGGGCGTAGGGCGTAGGGAGTTCAAATGCCTGAGCCTATTGACACGCCGAGAGTGTAGACAGTATGGATGTCTGACGGATGCTTGCTGCTGTCGTCTCAGTCTGTTACTGGTCACACTGTCAATACTTCAATTATGTTGGTAAATGCGTATGTTTTAAATATTGAAACCAGCAGAGGATTGATCAAATATGGATTGCATCTTGACTACATCCAATTAAAATCTATTCTATAGCTTATTGACGTAACAAGATCGAATAGCATCAACAAGCTCGTCTACACTGCTGGGAGCATGTGAGAAAGATGTTACAAAGCGAACTGTCCCAGGCTCCCATCTGTCGTGGTAAAACTGATAGCCACGACCAAGCAGTTGTTTTATCACATGCGGCGACAGGCGACAAAAGAGTATGTTGGCTTCCGGCTCCTTGATAAGCTCTAGCCCAGGAATACTCTTGAGACCAGCGGCCAGGCGTGCGGCTAACCCGTTGGCGTGACGGGCATTTCGCAACCATAATTCATCGGCAAGGTAGGCCTCAATCTGGGCGGTGTGGAAGCGCATCTTGGAGGCCAGCTGGCCCGCTCGCTTCTGGCGAAAGGCCAGCTCGGGTGCCAAGGTAGGGTTGAATGAGACAATGATGTCGACCGTCATTGCGCCGTTCTTGGTCAACCCGAAAGAGAGGACGTCAACACCTGCCTTCCAGGTCATCTCGGCTGGGGATGCACCGAGATGAACAAGTGCATTGGCAAAACGCGCGCCATCCATATGGACACGCAAGCCTGCGCTCTTGGCTATCGAAGATAGCTCGCAGAGTTCATCGATCGTGTAGACACCTCCGCTTTCAGTCGCCTGGCTGATGCTGACAACAGATGGTTGGACACTGTGAACGTCGCCGGCCTTTCGACGTACTGCAGCTCGCAGAGAATGGGGATCAAGCTTGGTATCCTTTCCAGACACCGCAACGAGTTTAGAGCCGCCTGTGAAGGCTTCTGGAGCACCACACTCATCGTTGTTGATGTGGCTGTCCGGATGGCAAAGAATACTGCCCCAAGGCTTGACTAGAGACGCTAATCCGATGCAATTTGCTGCGGTTCCGCTCGAAACTGGGAAGACGTCGACTTCCCGCTCAAAGATTTCTTGTAGCCGCTGACGAGCCGCTTTTGTGATGGTGTCATTTCCATATGGTGCAACATGCTCAGAGGCCGCGGCGACGATAGCTTGCACGATCTCGGGTGATGCGCCGGCTATGTTGTCACTCATGAAGGAGCGACCAGGATTCGGGGTATAAGACACCATGTTGGGAGTTTAGTGAATGTGAAGAAAATCACAGGGATCTCAAAGAGTGCGGTTAAGGGCAGAAGTAAGGGATGGAAAAATATCAAAGACGAGTAACACTCAGGAAACAGGAATTAAATACCAGCGGGGAGAGATAGAAACAAGGCGTAACAGGCTCTAGAAAATGTTTCCAGTGGACTAGCAATCTAAGTTTTCAATCAGTGTTAGAGACACCCCTCGGCGCAAACTTGCGAAGAAAAAGTTCATATCGCCGGCCCACCCAAAGACGCGGCTTTCACCGCCTGAATTTCCGAAGTCATTGACCCTAAATGTTACGGCCTAATATATCCCCTATCACGTATTAAAACACTCCCCATAAATTCCCTTTATAACCCACCTATCATAAAAGACCTTACTTCCCTAAGTGCGAGGCCCTTACTTAGACCTTACTTCTCTAAGTGCGAGGCCCTTACTTAGACCTTACTTCACTAAGTGCGAGGCCCCTTATATATATATAATATTTATTATACCTTAGATAAATACTTAGCCCTTAAGCTATTAATAGACTTTAATTACTTTTAAGACTTTCTTAATCTATTACTAAGATATAATTCCCCTATTATATAGTAATACTAAGACTCTTTATTAATAATAAACCTAATATACTTAGTTTATTCCCTTAGAAAATATTAGATATTATATATTAATAGCTTCTTATTTAATATATTTCTATATTATATTATATAATACTTCTATTATTAAATAATATATCTTTTAATAAATAAAATACCTTATTTATTAAATCTTCTGCTAGAAAATTATTACCTTATAATAAGATGCCCCTAAGTATCGCTAAACTTATAGCTAAAATCTAATAGCTTAGAGGTATAGTTAATTAACTCTAGGGTTAAGTATAGAATTAATTTATAATATTTACTTAGTAATATTATAATAAAGATCTAAGAGAAATTATTAGACCTATAATACTTAAATTATTTATAGGATAAGCCTATAATATTATATCTTTCTTTATTAAGATAAAGAGATACTTTAGGCTTTTTTCTTAATATATTAATATTAATATAAAAAAAGTACTTTTTATTATACCCCTTTTTTATAGAACCGCTAAGGTATAATTTAAACCTATCTAGAGAGACTTCTTAGAAAATAAAAATAAGTCTAATTAAGACTAAGAGACTATTAATATCTTTATTAATTAAAGTAACTTTAAAGTAGCTATTAAAGAAGCTTTTAGAATTATAAAATACCTTATTTCTAAGAAGGTCTTTTATAAATAAAATTCTAGAAAAATAAGCTTATAAGATATAAGCCTAGGATTTTATTACCCTATACTTTAGCTTATACGCTTCCTATAAACTACTTACCTAAGCAATAGCTACTTAGATAAGTAAGATATAAGGGAGTATTAATATTACCCTTTCTAGGCTTATTTCCCTTTTAGGAAGATCATATGATCTCGGACTTAGGGTTTTATTAAAAGCCCGATAATACTATTAAACCTATCTCTTTCTATAGGGTATTTCTTATCCGGTTTTAAATATCCTAGTTTAAAACCCTATAGGTTTTAACTTCTATTATATTATAACTTGGCTTCTAGTTATCTATTATTAGTAAAACTAATAGGGTTTTAAAGCCCGGAATTAAGGCTATCTAATAATATAACTTTTATCTAAATCAGGCTAATAGATTCCGAGTAATTTGCTATATAAGCTATAAACCCTCTCTTAGAAATAGCTTATAATATATATATCTAATATAAGTAATAAGACTACTAATAAGAAGCTGGCCTTTTATCCTATACCTCTATTTACCTTATGACCTACTTTTATTAGCTAATAATTTACTACCTAGCTAATTAGCTATTTATTAAGATTAATTCTACTACCTATTTACCTCTTATCTCTATTACCTACCCTATAGTCTTTGAAGACTATATAGCCTTTATTCTTTAGTCTTTTATAAGAATAATAAATAAGGAAAAATAAGCTGCTGCTAAACTCTATAGCTTAACTTAAAATAAGTTATATATTATTTATTTTATAACCTTCTAGTAACTTATATCTAAGGTTAAATAAGATAATAAAGCCCTTATAGAAATCTATTATTAAGGACTTAAAGAAGAAATTAAAAATAAACTCTATAAGGTAGATAGATCTAATAACCTTAATTAATATATTAGAATAGCTATTAAGATTAATAAATAATAATATAAGCGACGCTAAGAAAAGGTAGCCTAAAGGAATAAAAGGCATACCTCTTAGTTTAATTCTTATTACCTTAATAGAAATAATAAATAAAACTAGGGATAAAAGAATAATAATAATAAGAATAAAGGAAATACCTTATATAATACTTAGCTAAGACTTATAGATATTAGAAATATCTAATAAGATAAATCTTATATTATTTATTATAATTATAGAAAGAAAAGATATTATAAGAGTAATTACTTATTTCTTATTTTAGTTAAAGGAGGATAAAGATTTTATTAAGACTAATAAGTTAATAGGGTTATTTAATAAAATAATAAAAATAAATTTACCCCTATATTATTTTATAATTTATTATAAAATAATAAAAATAAATAAATTATTATTATAATAAGATATATTAGAGGAATAATTAAAATAGATATACCTATAGATCTTTACCCTAAGGATAATAAGGATATTATATTTTATATTAATAACCTAGAACCTTAAATAATAGCCTAATAAGAAAAATAATATTAACTCTTAGCCCGAGAAGAAAAACCTATTAAATAGGCCTAGTAATTACTAGATTAATTTCCTATATAATATACCTATTAATAGAATTACCTTATATAATAATCTATATAATAAAGTATATATAATTAGATATTCTTTATATCCCTTAATTAGATATTATAAAAAGATATTAAATTAATTAATCTTAAATAAATTCTTATTTAAGAATACTTAAAGTATAATAAAGAGATTATATAAATTCTTAGTAATAAATTATTAAGTAAAGGATATATTTAATAAACCCTAAACTAATATACTAAGATTTATAAGAACCTTAATCTTATACCTAAGTTTCTAATAGTTTTA